CTACGACACTTGACTTTACCACACTTGACTCTACGACACTCTCTTTAGACTCTCTATAGACTCTCTATAGCCGACACTCATGGCCCCAAAACTCATGGCTAATGATGCTTTCGGGCCACTCGTCTTCTAGTTTTCTTAGGATACTGGACAAGTAGGGACACAACGGACGGGCACCACAAGGAGCTTAGGGCCGCCCCCGAAACCTCTCTACAACTGGGAAGCCGCTCCAGTTTAGGGCCTAGGGCTTTAGTGGAACGACAGCATTCACAGAACAGGTACACGGTACACTCTAGGACGCGACACTCACAGCGCTTTGAAGCATCGCCGGGAGCTCATAAGCGCTGGTCCCCGAAGGCCTAAGTCGTTGTGCAGCACAGGCTTTGCAATCCCTTTGATGTCCTTCAGCACCGATTTGACGTTCTGGTTCATCGATGTGAGCGCCGCCATGCTCCTCGACCTTTCTCTCTCCAGGGAGCCTGAGTTCAAGCCCTGTGCCCATGGGCCTTCGGCCTAAGAGATGCAACTACTGCAGGATTTAGGCAGTTGTATACGACTGTGCAACGACCGCACAAGACTCGGCTGCATCAGGTTTTGGGTGCTCAACATCTTGGTCTCAATCTACATGGCCGCCTGTGCTGCACAGGGTGTAAGGCATTAGCCTCAATAGTTACTAGTTGGGAGGGAGTCCTTCTCACCAAGCCGTCTGCTAGGTTGAAGCCCAAAACCATGTAGGTCCTCGGGAGGTTGTACAAGGGCGACAGGTGCTGGCTACGCTGCATGCACAAGTATGCAACGATGAGTAGAGAAATGGAAGGACAGATCGCCTGCCGATTTTGGAACCCTTCTCATGCAGAGCACGATCCTCCAGAGTCGGGGATCAGATGTACATTAAGCCCAAGCTGCCTCAAGCTTTGCGCAGGACCATAAGCCCTAAACGTAAACTCCTAAAGCCTAACCGAAGTTGCTCCTGGAAGACATGATTTCTTTATGGTGTAGGAGCACTTCAACGTCGCAAAACACCTTCCCACCACAACCGTTGTGCCATACAATATAGCCCTATAGCGTAGACTGAACTTTCACATATACATATATTTATATAGATGTATACAGATAGGTGTTTATGCATTTACTTGCATGTTTGAAGAGTTCAACATAGTTATGTATCTGTATATGGAAATATATAGTAGATCAAGCCGCGAAGCTCGTTCCGCGGAGCGAGCCACTTTCCCAGAACCCTAATCCCTGACCTCGAAAAGCCTACACGTCAAGGTCCTGACCTTGGGATCTCTGGCTGCGTTTGAGTATCTCATGGAACCTCTAAACCCTAAACCTAAAATGAGTCTGACGCAATGTGATATAACACTGTTCCCGTCTTGCATCTTCATCTGTATCATTTTCGTCCGAGGCACGGTATCGAAACACCATCTGGCACTGGTTCTTGGCGCAGACGCTCCTCGAAGTCATCCTCGATGCCCGGCAGCAGTTCTGCTACTTCACTGCTTTTGCATGGCTCGCGTCGCATTGGAGGGCAGAAGTCAACGGCCAGGGGTAATAACAAAATTGTTCATAATGGTACGTAATAGTAAGAGTCATAGTAGTAAAAATCAGAGTATGCATAGTAATAATAATAATCATCATCATAAAAATAAACATCCCAAAGAATACTGTACAACTCCCGAAGGCCTGGCTCGGCTGCAGATCAACTTCCTTTCAACCCGAGTTGCTGCCCTAAGCCCCCAAAAGCTGGTCTTAAGGATTGAGGCGAGTGGGTTTGTGCAACTTTTGGGCTTCTACTGTAAGCCAAAGAAGCTGCCCCTGGGTTTGGCTTAGGACTCGTGGTTTAGGGTTTCCGGTTCAGGGCATTGGTCCCCAGCTTCCCTCTGTTAGCTAAGCTAGGATAACTCAAGGTTGCCGGACTCATTCCATGTCGGTCTTGAAAAGAAAGCAAGCGACATCTTCCTACATAGCCTTCCGGACATGGATGACTGCAAGCTTGGGCAGGCAAGGTGCCAGCTGCAAGCACCAGAAAACATAAATAGTTGTTGAACCCCTATATAAACCCAAAACCCCTTTCTGTAGACCTAAGCTCATACTTGGAGGGTCAGGGAGTTTAGTAAGTAGGTAATAAGGCGAGTTAGAAGTACTCTAAAAGGGATCCTATTTGGGGTTATGATACTTATATGTCTGAACCAAATCTCTGAGCATACTGCGCGCACTGATGGGCCAAGGTGACCCCGACTTTTCTGGACTTGATCAATCCTGGGTCGTCCACGATGCAGGCCTGGAAGTTTCGGCTAAGCTTAGCCGGTTCAGGATCTCGGGATTACAGGTGGGTTTCGGTTGATGGGCAAACTGGCTGAGGATTTAGTTGTGTTGGGGGTTCAAGGCTTCGAACGGTTCACTTCCCGGTCGGGGAGGGAATATACCCATCTAGCAATCGGTAGCCTTGCAGCAGGACACGACAGGAAGCTTCCCACGCTGTGTGGATTTACATAGACGTCGGGCCGGAAGTCTGGTTCTGCAAATCTTGCGTGGCCATCCACCGTTGGCATGGCATCAGATGCCTAGGTTAAAGAACCTCGGGTTCCTTCAAGTAGATTCATGAGTGCAATAATATTAATACTACGAATAATATTATTAGTCATAATGGTAATAATGGTAATAATAATAGCAATAATAAGAAATAATACTAGAAGAAACCCGAACCGCAAGATAGAGGTCTGAAGAGTTAGTATGACTTGTAGTAAGATTTCGTCTTGCAGTCCCCGTGTAATGGCATCCTTGAATACACCCTTTATGTTAGGCCTTTGAGCTCACCTGGTGACGTCAAACTGAGCCTGTCGCCGAGGCCGTTCTGAGAGGGCTACAGCTCCTCCGTGTCCTGCAGCCGCTGGGCTTAGGGAAGTTTAGGTTCTGGGTCTGAATGAGAACACGAATCCTTATGGGGTTCCTGATTCCTACTGTATTACGACATACCCCAAAAGCCCTCTTCTAATTGTGAAAGGTTCAATGTGTGTGTGTGTGTGTTTCAGTATTTTCGGGCTGTGGGCAAAGGGCTTTGATGCTTGGCCGGGTACCTAGGGGTTTATGATTGAGTGCTTTCGAGGTGTGGAGTCTAGAGTTCGGGCAAGTGCTTGGCTTCCATTCAAGCCCGGTTTTGAGGGCCTTGGCACGCCACGTTTGATTCCTCCTGCAACCCCCAGAACGCTTCTGTTTGACAGGTCCCAATGCTCAAGGCTGTAAGGCCGGCGCTTTGAAGCAGACGCAGAAAGCTCAGGATCCCGACCTGGTATCACATCACAGGCTTCGAGAGCACTGTGCGGGAGTCCTGGCTATGCACCGGTCGGAGAAATAGCACAGTGATTTGGTAAGTGTGTAACTGCAGCAGTTCTTCGAAACTTGCGTAAGTAAAGGCAATTGAATATTAAAGGACTTTTTGCAATAATCACACTAGTACTTATCAGAGTTTGGGTCTGCGAGTTACAGCAGCATCCGAGCTCACTCGATGTGTTGGGTTCCACGTATCAAGTTTGCCACATTTGCCTGGAGCTTTGCGAAGGACCCCAACCCTACGCCCAAACCCCCAAACCCTCAACCCTGAAAACAGAGGAATGGCTTCGCCACCGCAGCCGTGAATTCCGCGCCTTTTGGAACGTTCTGTGGCTTGGGATTTGGGGCAGCCTCTTCCTGCAGCCCGGCTATTTTCAGAGAGGTGTAATATCTATAATTCCGGGGCTGAAATAGTTACCAAGACTGTTTTGGAGGTTCCTCTGTTTTTTTGAAGTATAATATACCCCAAAACCCTATTCTAATCACGAGGCCCCTACTATATTAGGAGCCTTCGTGAGTAGAAGGGCTCCTTTGGGGTTCCTTTGAAGGGTTACCCTACGGGTCACCTCCGTCAAAATGAAGGGCTTTGACAGGGATCCCAATGCAACTAAAGACGGTTTGCCAATGAGGGATCCGCACTAACACTGATGGCAGCTTACGGATCAGTTCTGCGGCACATCATGGACTCAATATGAAGTTCACAGTTAATACAGTAGCTGCTCCAACTTCGAGGCTCGCCACAAGTGACTCTCGTAAGAGGTAGTGTTACTTGTCTTACAGCGCTAAGGTTCCGAAGCGGACCATGAAATCATCCAGAACAAACTGTTCAGGCCTCGAGGTCTAGGTTCAGGAAGTACAGAGGCAGCAAAGCATCCAGCCGTGTCGAACGAGACCTCGTCGAGGACTCAAGCGAGCGGGCTGTGCGTTCTGGGTTCTGTGCACGTATGGACGTCATGCCATCAACACACTCAACCTGGTCCCATGCTCCCACCAAAAGCGGCTGACAATCCGAAATCCCTAAACCGATAAACCCCCACAAACGCCATGTAAACGACTCTAACCCTTAACCAAGTCCATGTCTGCGGCATCCTTCTGAAACACCGAGGCACTGCTTAACCTGCGTCTGGTTCGCTGCCGGAAACTATCCAGGTCGACCCATGGCCCAGAAAGATGCGGGGTGTTTGTATTCTTGACAGGATATATTGAGTAGTAAAGCCGTCGTCTTCCTTCGTGTTCCATAGTATACGTCTTGCAAAGCCTAGTCTGGCTAGGCTTGTCAGGATTCTGGGTCAGAGGAATGCCAAGCGTCTCCAACAGGATCTTTCGGACTTTGCATTTATGACGTCCGGGCTGTTCTGTATTAAGGCTATAGGTTCCGGGGTTCATGGCTTCGGGGAGTGAGTGTTGGGCCGGGGTATGCCCGGCGACCAAAGCACCCTGGGGTTTAGTGTTCAGGGTCCCTACAGGGTTAGGATTTATAGGGTTTAGGGAGATGCTGGGGGTATCCAGGCCTTGAAGGCTTCGAAGCGAAAGGCACATAAGAGTTTTAGTAGCTAGTGGATCCGCTCCTTGGCTCAATGTTTCCGGCAGAAGCCCTTCCCAAGAAAGCATGGTAGTTCTGCAGGCCCATAGAGTAGGTTGTGTTGGTTAAGGTTGTCCGCTTCATGCGACACGAGTGATACAGACAAGATGTAAGGGCTTTTGAGTTGAGGGTTTACGGCTTCAAGACCCAACTGAGGCAACAACGACCCTCTAAGCACGGCGTGGTCAACCGATCCTGACTACTACTGTCACTGTAGAACCACGCCCCATGGAGTAGTTTGCTCCGAGGCTGGGTGTATAGAAACCCTGAAACCGAAGCCGTTGGAGATTGGCCCCGAGGTTGGGTGTACAGCAGAGGCATGGAAGAGGACAGCCACTCGGCGCAGATGGCTAGAAGCGTTTGCTGCCCTAGCTTGCTGTAGCCAGATATTTTGTGCCAAAGGGGAGCCGTTAGCAAAATCGCGCTTCAGCACTGACGACCACTCCCACTCCACGACGACCACGTCGACCACGACTGCTACTACCACCCGTCTTAATTGCCACTACCACTACCATTACCGCTACCACGACCACTACGACCACGACGATGAAGATGACGACGACACGACACGGAAGACTGCTACTCCCACTAGCACACACCACCGCTACCCGTGCTGTTGCTCCACAACCTGCAGTTGAGATACCTCAGCAAATCCCATCCCAAAACACCAGACCCGATGCCCAAAAGGCTTTAGCAACCCTGAACTCCGCACCCAAAAGCACCAACAATCCAATTTTTGTCGACCCCAAGACACCCTCCCTAAACCCAGGCTGGGACTATCAGTACCGCATCAGCCTGGAGTGGGCTATGGCCCGGCTCCCCCCTTCACGGATGACCGAGTACCTCGGCTTAGGGCATTGGATTGCAAGGTTTCGGTTTCGTTGTCCATGGTTTGAGACTTTTGGAGTCCAATCTGGAATCACCAACTGCTACCACCCTAGATGTCGGAACAGCCTGAAGTCACAAACCCGATAAGCACCCAAAACCGTAAGCCCTAAAATGGCAACAGCGGCCGTCCCTTCCGCCTCGCAGTTATCGTCCGGCCGAGGAACATGCAACTCGAATCTTCCACAGAGAAGATGGTCTCCCTGAGTCTTGGTCTCGCAGATTGCGGGCTTAAAGGCGGTAGTGTAGGGGTCTGAGGACTTTCCCCTTATTTCCACCCCTCTCTCATCATGCTTCAATGTGCGGGGCCATATTCAATGAACATAGCCCCGCACATTTTTCTGCCCCTACAGTTGCCTTTTGGGGTTACGGAGTGAAGCTAACAAGAACGAACTTTCGCTGCCAAAACGGGATTTTGGGAAGCCGGGGTTTTCCTGACTTGAGGTCCAGGTTTTGTGGAGTCGTGCTTGGAAGTTGACACTTACGGTTGTGTGGATGTAGGCCTCATGCATCACTTTTCTTCTCTAAAGTAGGAATGTCTATCACAGGGATCACGTAGGGAGGGCAGGCGGCGTCCACATTCTGTTGGAGGTCCGGTAAGTAAGTACTAGTTACCAGTTATGAGGATCATGGGTAGTTGTACGTAGATTTGGGTTAGGGCTCAGTGCACCGTGACTTTCGATGTTAGCGTCATTCGGAATACGGCGGGTTACTTACTCTCGTCATGTTGGGATGCAGCACAACAACATGGGCGAAAAGAGCACCTGAGTGGCATCGTGGCGTGACCGAGTGGTGACATCGGACCTTGGGCACTTCCTGGTAGTGTTCTTCGGGGTTAGCAGAAACCACCACAAGGCCGCAGCACTCAAATCCACAATCTTGCAGGTGAGCCCAAGACCGCTCTTGGCTTCAAGATCCTCTCTACCCTAAATCTCAGACCGCCCTAAAACCCCAGGATGGGGACCGGGCTGACCATGCTCTTCGGGTCAATCTTCACCTCCATCGTCACCAACGAAGCTCGTTGAAGCTTGAGTTCGGGCTTTGGGTTTGAGGGGCCTTGGGGACTTCCTCTTTGGACTTGGGGAAATTGAGGGCTGTTGTTTGGGCATCTTCACTTTCACGATCTTCTGTGTCAAGATCAAGTTGAGCTTTGAGAGGAGGGGGTGGGGGTCTGGAGCCCTAAGACCGGAACCCCAGCTCCTGAAAATTTGGGCCTTAGCGTTGAGGGCTCGGGCTCCCGGATCTTTGGATGTAGCAGTTCTTTTGGAGTTGGGCTGGTGGAGTTTGTGCCATCCCGGAAGCCGGCACTTCATGAATGCGAAATTTGGGTCGTCGGAAATCGAGATCTATCGATCCGGCCTTGAAGACCAAGTTTCGCATCTATGTACACCAAAGTGCATTTCTGCATCCGAAAGCCGTCCAAACGCAAAACCCTGGCATGGGAGTTTCAAAGCCGGATACCCACGAATACAAGGGTCGTGAAAAGGCCCACCCCAGAAAAGGAGCCCCGAATTTTACGTTACAAAACCACGCAGCATCCATTCAAACGATGCCGCCAGAGCTAAGGACATATCAGACATTCGTCGCCAGCGAAGGCAGCAAAGAGAAGCTGAGTACCAGGCAGAGCAGGGACAAAAATCTGATGGACGCGCTCATCAGAGAAAGGCTCAAAATAGTTATGAGGTTGATAACACTGCAACAAGAACTCTGACCGTAGTATTGGCATTGATGCTGGTGATGGTACCAAAGGCAGCGGCCTATTGTTGGTACTACATAGTTCATGTTGGAACCTGATTAAGCAACCTGGCCCTCTAACCCCAAAATACCCCAAAGTAGTAAAAACCACATAAAGAGCCCAATGAGGACCCAAGGTTTCTTAGTCATGAAGCACTGGATTATGAGTCGTGCCTTTATTCGTATTCACGGAAAGAGGAATCATGGCCTCGGCTTGGGTCTTCAGAAACCGCTTGAAATCCCCAAGCCTGACAGCTTTGCTTGGGGGTTTGAGAGTTCAAGGATGAAGAGCTGTCGGACTTTGGAACTTTAGGAACTGGGCTTCGGTGTTAGGCTTTCGGATGTAGCTAGAGACTTGGGTTTGCGGCTGTGAGCCTCTGTTTGGGTTTATGACTGGGATGTCTTGACTTGCTAGGTTCCGTTTTCAGCGACTCGGAAGAGAAAAAGCCTGCCCAGACGCACACATGTCGCGCCCCTTTCACGAGACACTAGCACTTCCTAAACTCGTGAGCGCAACACCTCCGAATTAAAGACCATACCGCAAATTCTTCTAAGGACCCGCTGCAGTCTGTAGCTTTCTTTTAAGTCTGAAGAATGTAAACCACAGTCGTCCAACTGCTCCTCTACCATTTAGAAGATTATTGGGCTTCGTGCAACTTTCGGTAGGTGCCGCTGGCTTTTGGTCTTGGAGCCTTCCGTCCCTTCTTCAAAGATGTTTGGGCCATGCTAAATCGAGGCATCTGTGGGGTTCTGCCACATTATTGGGGTGCCCCGAACCTCAAGTATGACATACGCTACTAGGCTCCTTTTAGGACAGGAAAGGCGGACGCCGAGTCAAAGTTGTGTAGCATTCTTAAAGCGGAGAGTCGCAGCGGAAAGCCGTCTGCCCCGGTCCAGGTGTCCGACTACTTGGGCATGAATCCCGTAAGTTGGGATCTGCAGGTGCAGCTCAGCGAGTACTTGCCCCTCAGCTGCAGCTTTAAATGAAGGCTTCCACTATACACTTGTCATCTTCGGGGCTCCGCATCCTTCCACGGTGCAGTGCGGGGTATCGTTGTTGTTTTGGCTTCGGCTCTTTGTGGCTTTAAGGTTCTGGAGCGTGCTGCCATTGTAGTCCTGATTATAACTATCCTATAGGCAGTTCTCTAAATTGGGGGCCAATAACTAGGCTCCTTTTAATGGGGCCGGTACGTCGGGGATTTAAAAAGCTACCCTAATTGAGAGAACTACCCATATGACACCCATGAAATGGCACCTTTTTTTCGATGCATTTTGACAAGTTTTGAATCAACTACTAAACATACACGGGAACCATCGTTTCCGTAGGCCACACCCTAAACCGTCTTTGCCAAGGCAACGGAACAGGACGAGGATACAAAGGCCGTCCAAGAAGGAAATGAGACGCCCGGCCGCTTCAGGGGCTCCCGGGGATCAAGAAGGAAGTTGGGGTTCTAAGACTTTTGGGGCAAAATAGTGCGTGATAGTGTATTGCACAAAGGATTTTATGGTATATTAGTATATCTTAGCATATGATCGCGGCCCTTCATTCAACCGGAAGTTGCTGTCTGCCAACTCCGGGGTGAGATGCCAGATGGTAGGAGTTTCAAGCCTACAACTGTACTTCCATACCGAGCCTACAACTCCTCAAGGCGATTGTGGGAAGGGGTGGGAGGTGTATTCGCATTCAGGCCCCTCCGAAAGGCCTGAAGCCTTGAACTCTTCTCAAGTCCCAAGCGGAAAAGCGCTAACAGCCATGCAGCTCCCAGGAGCGGTGCTCCCTCAATTTTTGTATCGCGAGCTCTGTCGCGAAGCCCTTGGGCCCATCTTCGCTGACCACCGCTTCCTCGAGAATCTGCTCAGAAAGCTGGGGCCTCAGATCTTCGGCTCTCTAGGCCTAGGCAATTGTCCCGCTTGCATTTTATGAGGTTGTTGAAACTCCCATGCCAAGGGCAACTAAGGTCTGTGGCAGGTCTCTGGTTGTGAGTTTTCGGTTTGTGTTGGGTTTGTCACTACACTCCACGATCCAAAGATTACTTTATAGTTTGTTGCCGACCACCCAATGTTGAAGATTCCCTTGTTTGGTGTCGATTTTGCTCAGGTGGTGTTGCACTCTGTGAGCATGGTGCGCAGTTCATGATGATGTCGGCAGCTGCCCTCCATATCCCTCCATCTGTTCGTTCCCTATGCGAGCGATAGAGCCAATCGCATTGTTGCGCGCATTGCCGCGCCGCGCGTATGCCTGGCGTGGAGTCATCAGGCCTCCAGCAAGACCGGGAACCTGAAGCGTTTAAGGAGAACAGACCGGTCGGATTTTGAGCAAGCCTGTTCCAAAAGATCAGCCTGAGTTCGGAGCAGAACCTTTGTGCAGTGAGAAAGCACTCATACGTCGTCTATCAAACGCCGGCAAGAGAGGCCAATGGATGCACTTAAAAGCTGTTCAGCACTTATTAAGGATGCTCAGCGGGTGATTGCTAGAAGGCCTCGCAAATCTTTAAATCTGCCAAGGCACTCTGCGCTGCAGTATGAGCTCTGTGCCAACTGCTTGGAAGAAGTGCGCATGGTTCCGGAGGAAGGGTCCGTTGGATTCCAGGTTTCTAGCTATATAGCATCCTGATGACCAATCACAAGCGGGGATCGCCACCTGCGCACATGACAGTAGTACAGTATCATGCTGTCACCCGAAACCCTGAACCGTGTAACGTAGCCCTAGAGCATCCCTCGAAGCTGGAACCCTGAACCGCCACCATCAACACGAGAGCACTGCGGCAAAAAGCAGTGGAAGAGTATGGAACTGTGCACAGACTCAGGGCATGAAGAAGGACGACCAGTAAGGGCAGATCGAGAAAAAACAAAAAGTTCCATCAAGAGCCCCGGAGTCGAAGCCAGAGAAACCTTGCAGCTTACAAGCGACTTTCCATCAAACTCCAGCAGCACTCCTGTGTTTCTTGTTTGGGGGGGTCTGGAGCGTGGTGTGTATGTTTGTTTATTTCAGTATCAACTCCAGCTTTAAGTCTGGTAGAAAGCGCCGAGCTTCTGAAGTAAGGCTTTGAGGTTCAAGCGGCAACCACCAGAAACCGGAGCCCCAGCACCAGAAACCCAACCCTCTTAGACTTCTGAAGAATGGGGTCTCCCTTCTCAGAAACCCGTTGTGTCCCGAAGACTCTCCAGGAGACAATCTTCCATCCGGGCCCTATTTGCGACAACATGCTTTTCCTGGCTAGCGGCCATATCCTGCTGCTGGGCGCAGACGTGTAGCAGGGGTCCCGAGACATTCAAGGTACCCCCAAAACCATACGGTTTATAAAGGTCCAAAGAGCCATTGGGTTTAGCATTTCACTGAATCCTCCTAATCCATGAACGTCGGGCCGGAATAGGGCTGCGGAAGCCTTGTAGATGGTGTGGTTGGCAGTTGCCTCGGACTCTATATTCAAAGAAGCTTCAAAGCATCGCGCACCTATGCGCTCATGACTGAAGATCCAAAAGCCCTAAGCCCAAGACGTTCAAGCCCTTAACCCGGAACCTCAGAGGAGTCAGATGTGATGTAGACACCCTGCACCAACATGAACGACATAAGCACAGGACGAATGAAGGATTCTCCAGGATGAACTTTGATCCTTGTTTAAGTTGATCTGGGGATGTGGTCTCCTTCTATGCCTACGCTTGCACAGCCTTTCTCAACCCCCAACCCTGATCCCGTCATGGGAGACCCTACTGCGTCCTAGGATCCGGACCAAGCATACAGGAAAGCACGCAAGACAAAAGTCACGACCTCCCGAGCTCCGGCTCGGCGTGATTGCTCAACGGGTTAGGGTCCGAAAATGTTTTCCGAAGCTGCTCCCTTCCAAAGTTTAGCAACATACCTTGAGCCATGCACGTCTTAGGCCCTTAAGCTTCTTATGTTCGGTTCATTCCTTAAGGGTTTGGGGGCTCGCTGGGCCTAAGTCCAGGTACTGGCGGCAGTCTGACGGGGTGGGAACATCGGAGCAACTTCTCAGCGTCCAGAAGAGGGAGAAGAACTTCAAGGCCATTGAGGGAGCGCGGGAATCCATAACTATCGTCTAGAGAGCCAGGTGGGTCTTGAATGCGATGTAAGCCCTGGTCTATGTAATTGTGGTATCTGCCTTCGTAGGCGAATACCAGGATTTTTGCCATGTTGACTGATTTCAACTTGTGGGTCATTGGCGGTTCTTGCGCTGCCCCAAGAAACCACGCTCGATCTTCGCAACCGAAGCAGGAACCCTATTAACAACCATGACAAGGCCGTGGTTCCTGCCGGCGCCCAATCCATGGTGCAGGCGTGGGGGCTTGAAGCTGACGTAAAGAGCTTTAGGGCCTCAGGCCTTGAGAGTATGGATTAGGGCCTGGGGATTTTCGGGCTGTGGGCCTTGGGTCTTTTGGGTGTTTTTGAGGCTTCCTGCTTGGTTTGTGAGGCTTTAGCACAGTTCGGGTTTGAGGTCGAGGCTTTGGGGTCGTAGGCCTTTTGGGTTTCGGAACCCCTGTGTCCGCTCACTAAGTTCGTCGGTTCCGTTTTTGAGCTCTAATCCTAGGAACCCCACCCTAAACCCCCATCCTCAAGCCAACCCACGACCCAAACGGGAAAAACGCAATTGAACTCATGAGAGGGTCTCTGAGCTTGAGGCTCAGGCTGGACCCGTTTTGGGGCGCTTGGAGATTTGTTGAAGTTTGACTCATCTGGGCTTCTCAGCTGGCGGCTCCAGGGACCCCAGGAATCTAAGGAGGCTCGGGGCCATTCGGAGAATCACAGCGCTTTCAGGCTCTCAAACACTCAAGCCCTAAACTCAACCTCCTCAGCCCCACAATCTCATTGCTCCGAGGAGCTGACGGCCGGAGACTGGATGTGCGAGCCCTGCTTGTGGACCACCTGGGTCTACGTGGGTAAGGCCAACGAGGGCTCGACGAGGGATTAAAATAGGGGCCTTAATAAATAGAATACGTAGGAGTTGGCCGGTTTTCGGGGATTAATTAGACTGAGGGGCACTTAGAATTTTTTTCGCAATCCCAACATCCTGATTTTTGACGGGGTCCAACGTTCAGTGTAGCCGTGTAGCCTATAAGCGGCTGAAGAAGTTTGGGTTCCACCTTTTTGGGGTGGCTTAACGTGTTTGAGTGATGAGGGTCGCATGTAAGGGGGTCGAGAGGATTTTGGGTTCTGCGGATTAGGGAGAAGGTTTGGGAATTTTTCGGTGTTGGTTAAGTGGCTTAATCCAGGTTAAAGGCATCTTATTGCCTAAGATTTTGGGCTAGCTGTAGACATTGTTTGGTTGGATGTACAACGGTGATACCTGCTACACTCGACATGCGGTTTGTGCTATTTTTGCTTGATTGCCATCTGTTAAGGGCTGTTCAGGTTGGTGGCTGGGGTATAGCGGGTGGTTGGGACACCTCTGTTACAATCCTGACTAGGGTTTTGAGCTGAGTATCTTGCTCGCAGGCTGTGGCGGGTTTGGACACTTCTCTCGCGGCTCGCTTGAACTGTGCTCCCGGAGTTTTTGACCATAAGAGCCAACAAAACCCGAGCCTGTGACCCAGAAGCTTCTTGAGCCTTCAGTCAGAAAGTTGCTCTCCGAGCTTCACGGGCTAAAGTTTTCTGGAAGATGTGGGCGAGGGCTTGGGAAGCTTTCGGATCCGAGGTCTTCTCCGGTTCTGGGGCTCTTTGCCTTCTTGGCTTCTCGCTAGGCTTTTTTCTGCAGCATCGACTGCGAAAATGCAGAGTCCCTTCGTCAAATTGCTTGTGTCGTTCTAACAGGTGTCGTGTGTCGAAGGCTTGCGAAGAACTACCAACTAACTGTTAAGCTGACACTCATCCGCGGTCCTCGCTTCGCCTTCGCAACAATTGTGATCCATTGCATGTTATTCAGGGAGAGCCTACGTCCCGGATATCACGACCTAGGGCTGCTGGGTGCGCAGCCGCTTGCGGAGGAACGTCGCACCATGTTGCACCCTGTGAAGCCCCCTAGAGCCCACATCCCTAACCCCTGCAACCCCGTGTCCTGAAATTTCAAGAGTTCGCATCATCTCTTAGCACAGCCGAGGTGGGGCTGTGCCACAGCAACCTTTTTGGCGCAGTGTCACTCCACAAGCAGCTTGGGAGAAAGCTTCAGCGGGACGATGAATCCCGAAGATCAAAACCCAACCTGAACCCCTGAAAGTTTTGCAAGCTTTTGGGGTGTACTCGCCTGATCGCTGGACCTAGTCAACAGGTGTTCACGAATCCTGTGTTATACACGGTACGATCGCCCACTTACGAGCAGAAGATCCGTGAAGAAGTTCCATGCCGACCAAGTCTTCAAAAACTTCTTGCTGGATCATCTACGGTCACTGCGGTTTGTTGTAGCAGCTTCACTGCGAAACTCTCGAGTTTCAGAGATCTGGTCCTATGGTCCTTTGCGCAGACACATCCACAACATGCTGTGAGCATGTGTTAAGTTGTCAGGTCATCTACGAAACCTGGCGGAAAGTTTGCACTTTGCAGGTATTGAGCTATTTGACAGTAGCCCGTGGCTGACACCCGGAGGTCCGCAGTCTCTGAGCTTGTGATGTACGCGAGGCGCTTTGTATCCGATCCTTGCCTCATATAATCTAAGTTCTGGTTGACTTGAGTTTCAGTTCAACAGTCAAACCAGGGGTATAAAGAAGATAAATTATGCGTGCCGTACCCTGGCAGCCTAACTTAGGTTCCTTGCCAGAACCTAGTGTTTGACCCTGTATCGTGAGGGACTGAGGCTGGGTCGGCGTGGAGGATCGGCAGCCGAACACAGACAAGTTAACCCTAGCCTTTTCGGTTCTAGTTTTGGTATAATGGCGTCGCCAACTGGGACCTTACGACAAGCAGGTCGCGGCAGCGGCAGGTGATTCCTTATAGGTGCTGGACAAAAAACCACTTGCCACCCAGCAGTCTCCTTGCAGTGCTGCCACCGACGGTTTCCAGCATTCTAGCAGGATTCGCAGGCAAAATAGGATGTTACATGAGGTCTCCGTAGCCTTCGATGACATTGTTGTGCCCGCACGTTTTTCTCCTATCTAGCAGCACCATACAGAAAGGGAATTGTACGGTTTGCAAAAGACCCGAGACCGACACAAAGCGCAGGGAAGACTTGAAGTGAGACTGCCAGGTCGAGCAGGATGCTCCAACCGTTCCCTGTACCACCCACTCAGAGCCTAAACCCGAAGCCACGAGGAAGTAGAGTAGAGGTATGGAAAGTCAAGAGCAAACATCCCCTTTACAGTTCCAGGGACCCCAACCTTAAGCCTTCTCTACTTGCTTTGGAAGGCCTTCTTGAGGCCCCCCCCGGCAGTAGAGCAAGCTCCCCAGGAGCTGAACGACGTTTGCGACGATGATCTGACTGATGTACAGATTCTGAAGGGCAGTCAGGCTTTCCACCTCGAGGAAGTCGACTGAAGCTTGATAAATCTAGCTTCTTCGGAAACCCAATCTTCCAGGGCCTACGACCCTCAGATCAAAGTCGTGAAATTCTGACGGCATTCGCTGCGAGATCTTTGAAGTCTTGCATGGTCTGATCTACTTGGTCTAGCGCTTTGAAGCTGAGGGCCTGCGGGTGCTGCAAGCAACACAGGATTGTTGCTTGACGGTTCATGGGCATGTATACATACATATATATATATATATATATGGAGATACACGTGTGTGTGTGTGTGTGTGCTTGTGTATATGCAGTTCGAAGTACCTACTGTCACCATGCAGGGATCTAGGCCTGCCAGCAATATACACTTTACCCTACCTAATGAAGGTTGGCGGCAGCGCACTGACGACCTTATGTTAAAAAATTGCGGTGCCCATGAACCTTCAAGAAGCATTGGGACAGAGCGGATGCCGCCGAAAATTTGGCAAATCCTCCGCCCAGTCCCACCGATTTTCAAGGTCCGTTGTCCCCCGTCATTGGCTCAGTGGCAACAAATGGGCCTGAACCATCTGTCAAAGTCTTCCTCCGGGCTAGCTTTACATCCATGAAATATCAACACTTCCCGAAGCTCTATATCCTAAACCCTGAATCCTAAACCTTGAACCCTGAAACCCTAAACCCTAAACACAAGGAAGCTTGTTGGCATGCGTGACATCCTGTTGAGCAGTTAGTTGACGAGATGCATGTTAGTTTCAGTCCATGGTTCGTATTGGATTCTATCATGTGTCCGTGAATTTGAATTGCGGAGAGGTTGGAGGTTTAGGGTTTTCAAGTTTCAGGACTTTGGGATCAGGCCTTCATAAGCACCCTGATCCAGCGACGAGGGCGTTCGAGGGCGCCATGTACTGGTCCCGGGACCCAAAGACAACGCGGCGCCAGAAGCACCTTCTTGGGCATGCAGACACGCATATCGAGGGGCATCAAGACCAAGACCGTGGTAGTAATTCAAGCTGGTTTCCGCCTCCTTAGAATGCCAGCCGTTAAAACAAGAAAAATGACCACGGCACGACTACCCATGGTTTCGGGTTTCACGCCTTGGAAGATGATGGAAGCTCGTGCCTGTTAATATATACTCTGTGACCCGGCTCATCACTGCGAACGCCAGGGAAAGAGCCGGTTTTCCCATCACGTGCGACCCCGACGAGTGATATTGACAAAAAGCTCGCGGCAATGATAATAGCGAGACTGACCCTTTGCGCAGGGTTTCTGTGCATCGCACATGGAGCATGCTAAGCAGCGCTATCAGGCAGCAGCATTGGACATCGCACAGATTTCATCAGGCCCCCCGACACAGATACACACACACACACACATTCTTCAGAACTTGGGAGATATTCTTGAATCCGAGAACGCACTGACGCCGCTCCTAGAAGTTGTCGCAGGCTCCAGCAAGAGTCCGAAGCGGTGCGATACCGCATTCCGCGGAGCGATGCTGGCACCGGGCCGGGCAAGTCCACCCCCGCTCCGGCTCGGGCCGGCACCGCCGCAGCTGCGCTACCGAGCCCTGCAGAATCTGCCGCCGCCCCGCAGCCGCTCGCGCCGAAGAGCGGCGCTGGAGCCCAGAGGCGAGAGCGAAAGCGAAAGCTACGGCCTGCTGGATTTGGTGGCTTTGTCAGTGGCCTCCACGGTGGGCTCCGGTGTCTTCTCCTTGGCAGGCCGTGTGGCTTCCCAGGAAGCGGGGCCCGCTGTGCCTCGGCTTTCTAAGGAGCACTTCCGGGTACCATAAAGCCATAATGAAGCACTGGTACAGTACATGAAACGAATTGTTCTCTTATACTTGTATACTGTGGTTGAAGTTGAGCAGCCTCTTACAAATTTCTTTTCCAAGACCACAGGTAGTGTTGTCACTGGGAATCGGAGCCCTCGGATGTTTGCTGAGCGCCACCGCATATGCGGAACTCTCGAGCCGCGTGGTGGCTGCTGGGTCGGTCTATGCCTATGCCCAGGTGGTGCTGAGACAGTAGACGTACAGATTGTGATACATTTGGAATATGTGACTATACATGTATATGTGTACATGCACATATATGGCATATCTCAGCATGTAAGGGATAAGTGAAAAGGTAGGAAACTCTAACGCGGTGACCGTTTCCTAGGTCCTAAATTTCGGCTTCCCGGTTGGTGTTTTGATGTTTTGTCTGGCTTGTTTCTGGTTTCATTGGTCGGCTGTTTCCTTACTACACATCATCACCGTCCCCTTCTGCTTGACAGTGGCCCTCCGGAGCTATGGGTCCGAACTAAGTGCTGCGGATCCGAGTTCCCCTTTTGGTAGAACTGGGGTCGGAGTATTTAACAACAGTCTTCCCTTATTCTTAATATAATTAGACGATACCATTGCATATCCAAAACCCTATATTCCTAAGGTTTTAAGGTCCCTCCTTGTAGGCCACGGGCCTGGGCAGATCCACGATGGCCGTCGCAGCGCTATGTTTGATCGTCGAGTACTCCTGGAGCTGCGCCGCCGTCTCTGTCGACTGGTCCGGGAAGCTGCTGCGCGCCGACTTCGGTTTCCTCTCACAGGCCCCGAACACCAAATTTAATTAGATGTTCATGACTAGTGCTACTGGCACTGTGGTTAAAGTCCTGCTGGCCTGATGGAGTCATTGCTTTCTGCTGTCATTACCAAATGCTCATGCTTGGAGTTCGCTTGTTCAGGGTTTTGGGTCTGATGTTGCTGTCCCCGAGGTCTCTTGGGACCCTGGTGTGCTCCTGGTGCTCTTCTGCACGGCCTTGTTCCTCAGCGGCTTCTAACAAGGACGCAGTAGATGGGCGTGGAAGGCTTGTCTTTGACAGAACCACACTGTGCCGGCTGAGGCTAGCAAGGGGAACAAAAACTTCCAGGCTCTTCACCAATGTCAGCACTGCAGCTGCTGGGTCGCAGCAATGAGCCGTCTCAGCAGTGCCAGATCCTAACTGAATTCCCAGAACATGGTACTGATGATCATCGTGATCCTGATGGTGGGTGATGACGATGATGGTTACGAAGATGAAGCTGTCGCCGGTCTGCATAGTGTTGCTTCGGTATTGCGCTTCAGGTCACGCGTGTCCACCACGTTTCTGACTCTGCAGTCTTGGGCACACCTTGTTGCTCGTAGCATATGCTGCTGAACCAAGCTTTCGGAATGAGACCCGTGCTTGAAAAAGTCGGCAAACCCCTATACACCCCAACAAGCCCACCAACAGCAGCCCCATGTGGACCCAAATAGAGCATTTGGACCATAAACTCGTGTACATTAGAAACCGAATTACACCATTGAAGACAAAAAGTCCCTGATAGGCGAAGCTTGGGCTGATCTTCTTCCTGATGGCCTCCGCTTTGTTGGCCTTCGATGTGAAGAACCTGCAACCCTTCATCCCCGAGGATCTCCCACAAAAAGGGAGCGTGGGCAATTTTGGATGTTGGGTTTCGGGGCTTTGAGGTGTCGCGTTTAAGATGTACAACTTTGGGGTTAGAGCCTCAATTCCAAGCTCCAACTGCGCCCTTACGAAGCCGCCGCTGACATGCCATGGCCATGAGACAACGCAAGAGGAGAGACAGAGAACCTAACGAGGAGTACGGCATCTCCGGTGTGCTGCGGGGAGCCACTGACTCATTCTTCGGCTTTTTGGGCTTCGATGCGGTGTGCGCACTGGCCCTGGATACCAAGGACAGGTTTACACAAAGTGTCCCGAGTCTGGTTTACTACAGGTGGTATTCTTCGCCGTCGTCGTCCTAGAGGTTAATTACTATGATTGTCATTCAGATTTTCAGGAGTAGAAATTGTAGGCGGAGGAGGAGCAGCAGCATGCAGCAGCAGTAGCAGTAGCAGTGGAAGTAACGTAGCAGCAGCAGCAGCAGCAGCAGCAGCAGCTGTCAGCTGTGGCAGTAGTAGAAGCTGTGGTAGCGGAAGAACGAGTAGTAGCAGCCGTAGTCGCAGTAGTCGTAGTCGCGGTACAGATACTGGAACTGGTGCTGATAGTACTCGCAGTTGTAGTGTCACGTTCAACACACACAAACTATATGGAATGCTTAGAGAAAAGCATGATTGCGGTTCAGGGTTCAGGGTGTGCTTCAGACCCATGGTGCCTGAGCGCACAAGGCTTAGCAGCCAAAAGCCCGGAAGCGCAACCGCACAGAATCAGGATCCTTACAATGACCTTCCTGATATCCCGTGTGCGAATCCTTCTAGCAGCCCTTATATTAAAACCTTATTCAACCCTTCTAGTCGCCCTATTCCCCAAGACGGTGGAACTTGATCAAAGCCTCAGAGCGAGATGCGCTCGGAGGATGCCCGGAGGGTGGTACCCTCTGCTCTCTTCCTGGGCCTTTTCGTCTCCGGTGGCCTCACCTGCTTGGCAGGCGGCGTTGAAGTGAACCTTCCCCAAAGCAAGGCCTCATGCAAACCATACACCGAAAGCACTGGATAAAAAACGGGTACCTTCGAAGTTTCTTGGAACATGCCGCACGCTTGTTGAGGGCACCATCGGTTTCTTATTCCGCACTGAACCGCCTGGATAAGTAGTCCGCCCGTGCAGCCTCTGGACTTGTGCTTGTGCTCACCTCCGAGACCCTACGTTGCTTGCATCCAGAAAAACCCCAAACCCTCAACGACCCTCAACGGCCCTAAACGGCCCGGCCCTAAGCCCTGAGAAGCGTCCGACCCAGAGCCTTTTCGATTTTGCAGGCTTTGTCCTCGTGGCCGCCGTGCCCGCGGCCCGCCTCGACCCGGCGGCGGGCTTCGTCTCGGCACTTTGCCAGCAGATGTTAATTCAGGGCACAACAGGGGCCTCAGAATTCAAGCTTGAGGGTTTAGAGGGTTGAGGGTTCAGAGGACTTCGGATTCATGCTCTGGCTTTAGAGTGCTTGTGCTTGAGGTTGAGCATGTAGGCAGCAGCCTCCGATTGAATCCTTAAGGTAGTAAGTCGTGTTCAGATTGCTAGCTGCATCGTGTCAAGCCTAGGCTGGTGCACAGGCCATCTACAGAGAGACATAGAGAGTGAGGAAAGAGCGAGAGAGCTCCCAAATATGTAATTCAAAATCTCTCTTGGCATGTATCAATTGCGTCGGCAGAACTGCTTAGCTCTGCAGCTTCCGAGCAATCATCCATGTCCGTTTGCAACACGCTATGTTTGTCACAACTTTGGGCGCCAAACCTCTATACTCTCAATGCCTCAAAATCCCTATCTCCCACACCTTGAGTCCCTAAACCCGAGCGTCCTGTACCCTAGAACTCTAGAACCCCGAAGCGGCCGAAGACTAGGCTTTCGAGATCTTGGGCAACGACTTCGCAGCTCGCGTTGTCACCGCTGCCCGGGCTGCCTTCGAGAGCTTTTAAGCGTTTTGGGGCGTTCTCCACAGAGCACGAGGATAGACTTAAACCCAAAAGCACGAAGGTGGGAGAGTTGCTGGTGCTTCCCGTCGTTGCCTTCGGCTGTTTGCTGCCGCTTGGGCGCTTGCTGTGCTGCTTGGCAGAGGTCATCGGGCTGCCAAGATTTGGGGTGCGCAGACAGAAGCGGGCTAGGGCGGAACTGACAAATTCTTCAAAAAGAGAGACGTGTCGGAGGGTCTTCACAGTGCTTGCCAGGACGGTTTCTTGCCACCTCAGCTGGCGCGCCGCGATTCTGCCGATCAGCCCCTTCTGGCTACACTGCTTGGCGGCGCAGCAACGGCCTTATGTGCTGGGCTTGTCCCTTTCGAGGCCGGCAGCGAGGGCGTCGAAGGTAGTCACCGGCACTGCCAGCAGCCCTGCATCATCCTGCTCAGACTGTCACCAAGCATGGGAAGCAATGATTTCTTGTCGCAGGACTTGAACGACATCTCCTGCTTGTGCACATCTGCTCGCAGGACTTGAACGACATCTGCAGCGCAGCGGTGCTTTGTTGCTTCATCCTGGCATCGATTTCGGCGGTCGTGGCACGACAAGAAGGCTACAAGTCACCATCATGTGATTGGATCAGCAATTAGGTCCCGAAAGCCTCACTGCTTAGTCAGTCTGTTAGAGGCGCCCTGCGGGCCCAGCTCCGGGAGCTCCTGGCCGCCTTCGCGGCCTTCGCTTTTGCGACACTTTTTCTTTGCTCCCCTCGCTGGACCACGGACGCAGCACTGGCTCCCACGCTGCTTCGATGGCTAGGTGCTGAAGGCAGCCTTTTCCGGTTCTTGCCATTCTTGCCATGAAGGAGCTCTGCCTTTGGGTTTCAGCTTCCTCTCGTTTTGATTTGTTCCTCATGCAAAGATTCCTCCCCCCTGCCCTTGCCTTCGGGTTGAAGGGAACGAGTCCTGCGTAGCAGAGCGTCCAGCCCGAAATGGCTATTCTGTAGTAAGTTTGAGTTTGCGGAATCAGGCCAACAGTGGCCTGAGTAACGGGTACTTGAGTTTACCCTTCGAGCGTTCTGGCTCGGCTTTTTTGCCAGTCGTGGGTGTTGGAATTCAGGCGCTGGAACCCAAAACCCCAACATCAGTTTGTGAGCTGCATCTTTGCCTCTGGCAACCTTGCACAGTCTGCTCTATGCGCTCAGCCTATCCGTTTCCTAGCCTGGCCTCGGAATCCTGTTTAAATGAAGCTTCAACCTCTGAAACGGCTACCACCCTTTGACGACTTTTGGAATCAAGACCCCGACAACCCGTACAAAGCCTCGAACCTTGAGCGTTCCAACCCGAAACTTCATGGTCTTGCAATGCACCAGAGGCTTGCAACGTTACATGCACTTGCATGAAAGAAGGTCAATGAAGATCCGCAATACTCCAAGCCTTGCGCTCGAAACCTTGAAGTCTAAACTCGAAGAGGCCTATATCTTTCAATCTTGCAAGACAAAAGCTTTAAATCTGAAGAGGCCCTGGAAGCCCTACAGTCCCTACAGCCCAAAGCCCCCAATGCCCCCTTGAAGTTCCACTCCCAAGCCTTCCTCCGGCTGTTCAGCAGCCTTGAGGCCCACCACCGGCGTGGGATTTCCTGGCGTTGGTCGCAGCCGCAGCAGTCGCGTCCTGCGCAGCCAGAGCACAGAAGCTCGCCAAGGCCAGGTGGCTAGTTCTCTAAATAAGGGTTCCTTTTTATTTTGGGTTTAGGATTTTGTAGAGGGCCCCGAAAGGGACCCTACTTCCCAGGTAGCTTTCTGGGCTTTGAGGCTTTGAAGGTTGGGCTTGTGGAGTTCCCTGCAGGTGTTCCTCTTGATTCTATGAGGGTTTGGGTACCCCAGTCTCCCTTTACAATTTCTCTGGTTGTTCTGGGATTTCCTTCGTCACATTTAAACTTGACATAGAGTTTTCGGGCGGAGCAAGCGAGCAGCATGAATGGTCAAGACCCACTCAGGGATCGGAAGCATAGCTTACTCCCCTTGAAGACTGTTTGAGGTATCCCACCGGGCAGTGCAAAAAAAATAAAGGGGGTGGAAGCGTTGGTGTATGAGGGACAGAGACGAGCCGATATCGGCCACATGTAAACAGTAGGAGGACAAGAAGCATAGGGCGGAGTTGCTGTTGTTGGTGTTGTGGTGGCCACCGGTTGACGTCCTTGAATTCCGTGGCACATGTTTGGCCCCGAGCAAAGGCTTGTTTTTCCTGATGTCTAGTTAGTATGGAAAGGAATGTACAGAACGCACGGCCGAATTCGGTCGGGCGCACAAGTTCGCAGGATCCTCCGGACGGGTTGGCCTTTCCGGTGTCGATCCACCTGGTGTCCGTTCTTGGCTCCACAGCGCTTTTGACGACCCTCCCGGTCAGGGTCACAGAGTTCAGGATTGAGGGTTCGTGATTTATCACAGAAGCTTCAAACATTCATCAAGGAATATTCCCCACATTGTAACGATCTCCAAGAACTGAGCAACAATTAGCTCGAAGAAGAATGCTGCCATTCATATTTCTTGTCAGCTTGGAGTATCTGAAGCTCCCAAATAGTAGACGCTTACTGCAGCGGTGCATAGCTTTACAAGGTTCTCGAAGATGATGCTTCCGTTCGGCACAGTGAATCGTATCAGCGGTAGCTTCTGCAAAGCATGTCCACAGCAATTTAGGGTAGAGGAAGAATGAAAACCGTCCTGTCATTGTTCCTTAGTTCATTCGGGTAGAAAGTGGTACGACTGCAATCATCAGTGCACCGACTCGCGGTCTGGCAATATGGTCGTATTCGTTTCAGGGATGCCTGGCGCGAGGTTGACCGAAGAGCTCACAGATGGGCGATTGAAAGCCTTTTCGGTTTGAGGTTTTGGGACAGCAACCGAAGCTCTAAGCCTACAGTCCTTGGCTACAGTATTACAGCTCCCTTGTCTTTTCAGAGTGCCTTTACTCGTTCGTCCCAAGCAGGCATGCAACATGCACGGCAGTCGCGGTAAGAACTCCATGCTTCTTTGTGTTCCTTGCGGCTGTTTCCCGACCGAGGCTTACAGCCTCGTCGCATCTTCAGCGGTACTGGCAGCAGTCTGGGTCTCCAGTTGATGGCCAAGGCCGTCAGAAGCCAGCTGCCAGTTTGGACCAAAGATCTTGAAGACCGGTTAACCTTCACAAGTTCCCAATACTGTCAAGAGTCAAGAGTGCTTGACATCGATTCATTCAGCCATGTCCGATTGAACGTCTGCAGTAAGGTCAGAGATTGGCCGCGCACTTCCCTTTGAAGCTTCACGCCCTCCATAACCCGCTTGTAGAAACCCCATGAGAAACCCTGATGTTTCGCTATAGCAAGACTGAGGTTCAAGACTGCGGTGGTGGATCTGCAACCAGCGGCTTCAGAATTAGAAAATTGGGTTTCGGGGCGCATTGTATCGATCCTTCTAGGGACTGGAACAAAAGTACTTGTACCCTAAATCCAAAACCCTCAACACGAAACACTTCCGACCTCTAGATTAGCTGGCATTCCCCGAGCCATGCCACGCAAGCTGCCTGAGCGCGGCGTCAACTCTGATGAAGAAATTCTGGCGTACTTGCGTGCGATCGATGCCGAGATTGCGAAGCAGGAGGGATAACAAGGGTATTCGTTTCCCAAACAACAGTTTGGCAAGACTAAGTTGAAATGGTTCATACGTATGAGGTAAAGGGATTTCGTTGGAAGTGCGCAGGGCCTACTTGCTTCCCGCGTCTCCCACTGTGGCGGTGCGCTCCTTCTCGCGTTAAACCGTGTTCTTTCCACAGTCGAAGCCCTAGCCCTTGATTCCCTCTAGCGTAACCCCTGAATGCGTTGGAGCGTTGACATGGCCAATCGACGTCGTGACACGCAAACGTCGAGAACAGCATGGCTTTGGAACGTCGTCTTCTAAGAAAGTTGCACTAGACTCTGTCGCAACTACAAGCAAGGTAGGGTTTGGTGTTTATGGGTGGGGCCCCTGCTGGGTATGGGCGGCAAACCTTGGCAGGCGAAGCGAGCCAGACAAAAAGAGGTTGCAGTTGTAGACGTGTCGCTGTGGCTGGCACATTGCAGCATACGGCGTTTGGATTGTGCAGCCGATGGAAAGCTAGTCATGCGGTCAGAAATCTCGAAAGCTACCAGAAGCAGAAAGAGTTGCTCGAGCGCAGCCTGAAGATCATGGAGCAGCACTATGAGCCAGAACACCCCGACATGGCCAGGGCACCGTGCAGCTTGGGCAATGTATATGGAGATCTGAAAGATTTCCAAAGACACAATGAACTGCTGGAGCGGAGCCTGGTGGTTTTTGAGCAGCACTTCGGTCCAAAGCATCCCAATGTGGCCAGGACGCTGTACCACCTGGGCAATGCATTCGAAGATCTCGGAGACTACCAGAAGGAGAAAGACCGTGAGGAGCACTACGGTCCAGAGCACTTCAAAGTGGCCTGGTCGCTGCGCAAACTTGGCGATGTTGTCGGAAAGCTCGGAGACTACCAGAAGCAGGAAGAACTGCTGGAGCGCTGCCGGAAGATCCGGGAACAGCACCTTGGAGCAGAACACCTCGAGGTGGGCATCACGCTGTGCAATTTGGGGAGTGCATGCCGAAAGCTTGAACAATTCCAAGAAGCGAACAGCTTCCTGAAGCGGGGTCTGAAGCTTCGAGAGCGGCATGTTGAACCACCTCGGCGCTTCTGTCGCAAAGCTCGGAGAGTACCAGAGGCAAAGGATTTGTTGGAGCGCCGCCTCAAGATCATGGAGCAGCACCACGGAGCAGAGCACGATGAAGTGGCGTGGCAATCACACAATTCTGGGCGATGCATATGGAGATCTCGAAGATTACCCGAAGCAGAAGGATCTGTTGGAGCGCAGCCTGGAGATCAAGGAGAAAAAATACGGGTGAGATTATCCCCAAGCGGCCCTAATACTGAACCCTCTGGGCAAAGGGGAAAATCATAGAGTCCCGGACGGGGCCAGGACACTGAACAATCTGGGCAATGTTGAAGATCGAGGAGGTGTTGACGTGCGAAGTGCAGTTTGTTGCATGCTTGTGGATTCCCAAAACAAGGTCTGTCAAGCCTTTCATGGTTGCCTTGTAGTCGACGACCCATCGCGGAGCCCGTAACTAGCTGACCCTTTCAATAAAAATTTCCATTCTGTTTCGCATCTTAGAAGCTGGGGCTGCGGTTTGTCGTGGTTGGGGCGAAGGTTTCTAAACAAGATAAGAGGTCACGTTTGAAGGCGAATGTCCAGGAGGATTGTCAGCAGTTGGGTACTTGGGGATACACTCAGTACTTCTCAACCGTCCTTGGACACGCGATAGAGACAGGGTTTGCAAGATTGCACAGGCATTTGCTGGAGTTGTTCATGCTGCTGCTTGATGTTTTGTTCGTGGTGACTAGGAGGATCTGCCAGCAAAGCTTCATAGTTCGGTTGTAGCTTCAACCCCTCCTATACGAGTGCCGTCTGCGATCATCCCCCTACTACAATCCATAGTACAATCCTGACCGAGAGAGGACCAGGGCTTTGCATGATTTTAGACTTTCCCTTTGTGGCGATTCCCTTCCAAGGCCATTGCACGAGAGAATCTTCTCTTCGGCAACCTCAAACGCATCAAAGCCTCTACCCTAAACCACAACTCGAAACTCTTGGGGTTCCCTGTAAATAGAGGACTTCTGAAGGTCACCTGGAAACCCTGTGGAGGCTTTGGCACCCGATGCGGCACCTCGCTCCCAAGGTCTGCGGCTCAGCCTCTTGGGACGATTTGGGAGAGACCGCGTAGACCTGGCCCCCTCGCGTAGCAGTGGCCGCCACACGTGCCGATGCTACGGTTTGTGTAAAGCTCGTCTCCGAGAGGTGTAATTCGTTGGAAGATAGACTTCAATAGACCAGAACCGTAGGTTTAGGGTTTCGGGCAAGATAAGGGCCACCAATTAAGGTACCCAGTAAGCTGAAGCCTTTAGTTGCTTTGAGACAAGGACCCTTTTCACAGCACCGAGCTCAAGCACGCCACGACCTGGCGGCTCAACAGGGGTTAGTTTGTTTGCATCGAGGCTTCCTGTTATGTCAAAGATTTTGTAGGGTTTGGAGGCGGTGTATATAGAGATTGCCCTGAAGCCGCGTTCTCTCGGATTAGGGTTTAGGATCGACCCCAAGTTCGCTTGAGGGAGGAGCTACGACTCGAAGCTAATTTGTACGTGTCGGCAACTGTTGCTTCTAGCTTCTTTCCATTTGAGTGTAGGAACTTGCAAGCACCGCAGCCAGGAACCAGGCACGCAACCCCTCATCATCCATCTGAGCTCTGCCCGAAACGTTGACGACATGCAAGGGCTTCAGCCTGCAACGTTCTGAGGCACGCACTGCTTCCTCCTGCAGGACGCTGGTAGATGCTCCATGCAATTCGGGCATCAAGTTCCGCAAAGATCGCACATGAGCCGCCTCGGAATGGTTGGCCCACAGGGCTTAGCCAAGAACGAAGGAAGCCACCGCAGGACGCGACACACTTTCCATGGCGATGCAGTCGCAGAAGTGGACCTTGAAAGGTCTTCAAGTTTCAAGGTTTTTTGGCGCATCTCCACCCAACTTTGGAATGGCGTCCAAACTCATACACGATATCGTGCCGCGGAATCCCGGGCCTTCCGAAGAAGAAAAACAGGCCAGCTCAGTTTCATTGCGCTTTTCAGGGTGTAGGATTGCGAACCGGAGATCTTGAAGTTAAACGAATTCAGAACATCTGTATTCAACACACTGACTCCATGGGCTCCCTTTCGGCCGATGGTTTCTGCCCTTTGATGTGTCGAAAGCTGCAGCCATTTAACCTCCTCCAAGGGAGTACGGAAACGTTGTTTCAGGTTCAAGGTGTCGGGTTTGAAGGTTCCGATGCTAGAACAAAAAGGGTGTTCAGGCATGTTTATACAAGCGTATAATTAGTCAGTTCACGCCTTTTTTTGTCCTTTCGTCAGACATCGTCATGGCATTTGAGAAGCGATGGCTCGCGGCCTTGGCGGTGAACCTGCTTGGGCTCTTCTTGCTCTTTGAGCGCCCAGGCAGCAAGGGTGAAGAAGGGGAGCCCATCTTGGGGCTTCAGGAGCCCTGCTTGGGCTCTGCGCCGTCTCCTTCGGCAGAGCCCATAGATGGGTAATTTTGGATTGAACAGATTTGATGTCCACTCACACTCTGCTGGGTCTTGCTGGGTTTGGGCACAAAGCCGACAAGGCCAAGAGAAGCCAAAGCCCGGCAACTTCAAACCCCAAATGAACTCCCTAGCCCAGTTAAGGACCCGTGATTCAGGAACCTAGTTGTCGCTGAAGCTGTTGTGCATGTTTACGGTCCTAAAGAACCCATGGAACAAAGAACGAACGCGCAGAGAACCCAAACCCCACCCCAACCACTTCTCCGAAGCCCCAAAGCCTTGACATGAACGCCCCAGGGTTCAGCATGCTTGTATGTCATGTAACATCAGCATATCTAAACATTATACATGAGTTTGTTTGTGGCAATACTGCACACAGCAAGCTGGGTGTAGTCTGTAATCTACCACAGCTGTGTACCCAGGAGTTGTTGGAGAGTCCTTTTCGCGCAAGGTTCCGGAGCTCCGGCGTTTCGCTGACCTCTGCAGAGCCGGAGCTTGCGGCCTCGGCGGCAAAGGACGCTGGCCGCAGACTGACGAAGGCTGGCTCTCATTGTGCATCAGTGCATGAGCTAACGAAGAATCGTGATGGTGGTGGATGTTTTGTAGTCGCCGGGGTTATTTTTCGCTTGTAGGGCTCGAATGGGAAAAACCTTCCGAGGCTCTGAGACACTTGAGTTCTCTGGAGGGGCTTAGGGTTTCTTGGACTTGAACACACGAACCTAGACGACATTTTTGTGATCTACAAAGAAGAAGGGGAGAGGAAGTCAATTGCACCCTACCTTCCGTAGCTTGCTGCCGCACGAGTTGTCCATTGCCATATCGCGTGGCTTTTTCTCGGATTGTGTTGGGATCTTCGGGATTGTGGCTTGAAGGTTCGGCATACAAGTCTCCAACTGAGGCTTCATGCAGATGAAACCCGTGGCCCAAAATCGCAGACAGAATTGCAAGGAAAATGGGTTCCTTTTCATTCCTTCGACTCTGCACTCCGAGCCCTAAACCGCCCAAACCCAAAACTCCTTGGTCTTTAAAGGAAACCTCACGAGGTTGAGATTATCGATGGCAAGTTCCACCGGGACGGTCAGATGACGAGTGGCAAATTTCCTGGCAAGATCGTTGGCATCTCGGTGAGAAGAGGGTTCCTGAGGGCGTGTTTCGGGGTGCAGCGTTTGCGCTTCGGGGCAGGTTGAGGTCTCCAGGGTTCAACAATTTTGGGGTGACGAGATACACAGATCTTCTAACAAACAAGTCCGTTGCTTACGCGGTATGCCTTAGATTAACTAAGAGTGGGACCACTAGTATGATTATCAGTGTTCGTTCTTATGCTTGATTGGGAGATCTCGGTACGTGTGCCTCCCCAGCGGCTAGGATCCGGCTAGGATGGATGCATTCGATTAAAGGTCGTGATTCTGCATGGCAAGATTTTCGAGTTATTCGATTGTGAGTATTTCTTCTTCAGGCTGGTTTGGAGATCGCGGATGGCTGCAAAGTTTTACAGGTACTGCTTCAGGAGGTCAGGTCTCTTTCGGTCTGGAATTCGGCTATGTATTGATTTCCGCATGGACCGAGAATCTCCGAGGCATTGGTGGCAACGACTACGCGCATCTTGCACACGACCTGGGCTTCGAGGTCCCCGCGTGCTGAGCATTTACAAGGGCACGAGCAGGGAGCTTCTGTCGGGTCCTGTCCGCCTTTCCGGAGCATGCAGAAAGATCTTCCGAACGAAGGTGGGGATTTCGTTAACTCGTGTATTTCGGATGTTTCCGGGATTGCTTTCCTTTTGGGCCGTGTTCGGCCCGTCATATGTAGATTAGAACGTAGATCGTCTTGAAGAAATAACGTGTCTTCGTACTCTCGCACCCTCAAGACTTTAAGATACCTCGGGAACCTCTCTTCCAAGCAATTCCCAGTGTAGCTGCTCACTAGACTAACCCCCACGGCCCCAGGAGGGGCATGCAGGACACAACCCGACACCCCACAAGCCTTTGCTGCCATTTTCTCTATACTTTCGCTTTTGAACACTACTACCACCATACTCCTAAACCTTGAACCCGAAGCCCTAAAGGCCCAGAACCCTCTCTTTGCGCTCGTTTTGTAGGGATTGCGTACTGGGCGCAGGCGTTTCGGACCTGGGGGCTGGATCAGCTGCCCTGGGCGATGCTGGAGGCCCGGACGCAGGACTTCAAGGTCATGGCGGCCCGGCGCAAGACGTGCGGGCTTTGGGTTCAGGCTTGGGGTTTTGGGGTTTCGGGATTGAAATTTGGGGTTACGGTTCAAGGCTGTAGATCGGGGCTAGCAAGGCTTTTGCAAGGCTTTCAGCTTTCTAAGGTTTGGTGGCTCGGGGAGTGGTTTTCATGTTCGACTGCCAGAAGCTGTAAAACTCAGCGTTGCTTTGGCTCAGCGTATTCAGCACATACTGGGACTGGGACGTCTCTAGTTTTTGACAATGATGGGAAGGACAATGGTAGCAGGATGGTTTAGAGACTTAGAGCCCAGTAGGACGGCCTTTGAAGCAAGTTCTGCATTACTTACTCAGATTCGTAACAGCAGAGAGAGCAAGTGTGAAGTAAAAGATCCTAGCTCAGCTGCTACTGCACGAGCCGTTTCAGACAGCGCAACCTTGACACCATCGACATTGGCTTAGATGGTGCTGGTACACATACAGACATACATACATACATACATACATACATACATACATACATACGTACATACATACATACACACATCCGTGCATGCATGCGTACAAACATGCATCCATACATGCATACATGCATGCATCTATACATCTATACATCCACACATGCATACATGGCAGTACAACCTTGCGATGAAGGAACAGGAAAATGCCCGAAACAGGCGCTATACATACATATAGATAGACAGACAGACAGATAGCGTGACCTGCATTACGTGCAACTCAAGCAACGTGGGAACAACGAACGTGTGAAGCTCACTGTAGGATCTTTGACGAGTTGGATGGGGCTTGTACTAGCGACAGGAAGGTTAAGAAAAGTTAATTTCAATTCAGAGACCCATCGTTCCGCTTCTGATGCAGTTACATCAGCAAGCTCACTTATCCCAGCCGGCTTCAAGCAAGCCAGCGCCCTACCCCGCAATAAATCGCATGAAGCCAGATAGTCTGCTTTCAATGCTCGACACGAGCATTGGCATGATGGCCATCGTGGTAAACAGGGACAAAGCATGATGGCAAGATTCAGAGATCCCGTTGCCACGCAAGTACAGATACATGATGAATAGAAATAGATATAATATTAAAAAACAACTGAATAAGTATACATATATGTATACATAAATATAAATATAAATATAAATATATATATATATATACACGTGAGTGTATACAATGCAGATATGCCGTAGAAAGGGAGTGCCTTTGACCGCAGCTTCGGCTTCGAATCTCCGAGGTCGGTCTTGACATGACCCGAGACCCCCAGTGCCTTGGGCTTTCAGCGTCGGCGTCGCCCGTTTTTCTGTTCGGTGCTAAGGCTTTAGAGTGTTTTGGATTCAGGTGGTGTTCAAAACCGTATTCTGATCGATAAGGCCAGATTTCGGGACACGTAGTCGTTAGATGTGTTGTCACTCGGTTGACAGCTTCTCGGCTGGGCTTTACTGGGGATACGGCTGAGGTTCGGGTTGAGGGTTTATGGTGCACTCTTTGTATTACCTCTCCTCATGCACAGTCTTGCCATGCAGTGTTTGCTATGCTTCATCCTCTTTAGTTCATAGCATTTAATGCTATCAGGTACTACACTGAAGGCTCCGAGCACTGCTTTGACAACTTGGACCAGAGCAGCCCCCGGCAGAGGGAAGTTCGGTGGAGGGTTTAGGGCCTTGGGATTTTGACTCGTCCTACAAATATGAGGATCTTCGGATCTTTGACTGGGTGTTGATTTGGGCTTTGGGCGTTTGGATCCACCGTAGCAGCGGAGGGATTGCTGTCTCCAGCTCCAACTAGACATGTCGGCCGGTCTTTGACTCGTGAATAGTTGGGCAGGTCATGTGATGGCCTGAGCTTTCGCATTAGCAAGGCTATTGGCAGAACGCGATTCGGGTGATCCTCGCCACGGTGAACAGGTTCAAAACTGACCCGAACATGTTGATGTGGCTGGTGCCTGGCTGGATATTTGAGTCGGAGCGCTGTTCGGAGTCTTGCTTTCCTATCGCAAGGTTTACTTGCAGGGATTGTTGCTCGCTTTGGGCGTCCCTGCCAGTATGCACAAAAGCAGCGTTCACCACGACGACGACAATGCTAGATACTGGCCCTTGCACTCTTAACCCCGAAACCCTCACCACGCGCTGTAAGGTCGGAAACGAGCTCGAGATTCCTATTGACATTAACAAGGGCAACGACTGCATGTGGAAGCGTGTGAACTGGAAGCTCGTCCCGAAAGTCCAAAAGCCGAGGCATTTTTCAGTGTTGAGTTCACAGTGCAAACAGTGTTTGGCATGAATCTTGTACGTACTTTAGAGAGAGAGAGAGAGGGAGAGAGAGAGAGAGAGAGAGGATGCAGGGCGTTCCGAAGGTTCAGCACAAAGTAGCCTTGAAAGTCACCCAGGGTGGCGCGGAAAGTCAAAGACGCATCTTGGCAGAATCCAAGTTTGCGACTGCTAATAGAACAGCTATGAGTAACAGCAGTTTCCTCACCATCAACATCAGTATCGTCATCACGGCTCATGACCATCATCATTCATCATTCGTAGCCTTGTCACTGTTAGCCTTGCTATTGCGAAGAGAGTTGCCCTCGGAGGCCCAGACTCTGAATGTAAACTCCTCACCAATTGCCCATGCGGCCGTTATCGAAGCCGTGGTGCAACGTACTGCGCCTGGATCCGAACTCTGGCTCCCAAAAGCCGGCGAACTGCGGCAGCAATTCTGATGATAGACTTCATGATGACTTGTCTTTCGATGGCAAAAGCGCCCGGGCGCAGGGTTCCAGTTACGGCGCTGTCAAGGTTTCGAACAAGACCTCCAGGAAGTTATTGTGTGAAATCGCTTCAACACACTTCGCACTGTGTCCCCGAATCCCAGCATTCGTGCTTGTGAACATGATTTCAGTGATTTCCGAATCAAGGGCATGTTCGAAGGATTTTTAGCATGGCTTGGAAGAGCCGGAATACGGAAAGGTCATGATACCATATAATATCATTTTTAGATTCTAGAGTAGAGTATTGTAGAGTATAGTATAGAATATGCTTCAAAGGCAGCAAAGCGCCGAAGCCCAGGCAGACCCCGACCATCCCGTGGGCATAGCCTTGGCTGGCATCGCTTCGCCCTTTTGCAGAACAAATTGTGGCGGTTGGATTTTTCGAGTAGAGAGATGTGAGGCTTGAAAGGGTCTTGAAAGGGACGGAGGCCAGAAGTGATGGGGTTTGGGATTGTTGGGGGGCCTACTTGGAGGGCTAATCGAGGGCAAAGCTATGTGTGAGGTTTCCGTCCTTCGCTCGAGATTTTCTGCTGCATTGTCGGGTACTGAGGATCCCTAAACCTGACATGGTTGCAAAACCGAATGAGGGCTCCAGTTCAGTGTCGGTGCTTGCTCCCCAGGGCCCATGAGAGGAGCACTCACAGTGCCTGCAGGTTGCAATAGCCAAAGCCTTCACAGCTTTGGAAGAATGCTTTCAAAAGGCGGCAACGCTCCCACGTTGCAAGTTCAACCTGTCTCTTGCTATGTGCTGCTTGATACGTCTACTCTGGAGTACAACACGAACAGATGGGTACCAGTAGCCTCCATTGCAGATCCAAAGAAAGCGGAAAAAGCGCAACGATGCACAGGGATCCCCGTCAAGTTCTACACGTCCACGATAAGAAGCTTTCAAAGCGCCCTGCGTGAGCCAAAAAGGCCCAAAGTGACGAAGATGTCGGAGCTTTGCCCAGACACTCGGCCATCCTGCAGGTTTTTTTTTGGAGTTTGGGGAGCTCGGGGGTTCGGCTTAGCAGCTGAGGATTCGCGACGTGCTTGGGGTTGAAGCTTTCGTGGTCGGGCTTCAGAACTTCCTTCGTATCTTAGGCTGTGTGTTTCAAGCGTTTGGGTTCACGGACGGCTGAGACTTTGTACGGCGGTGAGTTTCCTGCCGTTGAAGCCAGGAGATTGACGTCCTGGGGACCAACATCTACGGACGATGCCTCAGGGAACGTTGGTGACATTTTCTCCAGGCTTCTGGGGCGGTAGGTTTCTTGTTTCTTTTTCTGGCGACAGGCCAGAGATGATACATCAGATCTAGAGCCACACGAAGCTATCGGACCGCAGCATCCTGTCATCAATGCAAATAGCGAGGAGACCTCCGTGGGCCAAGTGAGAACAGTAGCCTTAGACCCGGACCCTGAACCCTTTAGGCTGAAGACTAAAACGAACGGAATGCCCTGATCTTCAGCCCAAACCCTAGAACCCTGACTGAACAGCCTAAACCCGTCAAGCGTTAAGCCTACCACCGCTCACCGGAAAGCCTTCCGAAAACTCAAAAGCCATGAGGAAACGAGATCCGCGACATTGGCTCTCGACTGCGTGCTGCCGGATGGACGAAGCCATGGGACCGGGGTCCCAGGGGCCATGCGATTGCTTTGGGAAGACTAGGTTGCTGTTACGAAATTCAAATGAAGTTGTGATAATAAGGACGTCTTACTATTCACTATATAGCTCGCTCCATTGTGGTAAACTTGAAATAAATTCCTGAGCAACCCAGAAGAAGGGGTCTCCTAAGGGTTCGAGAAGCAGCTTCAAAAGGTTTCGAGTTTGGAGCGTAGTGGAGACAGGGGTGTAAGGGTTCAGGGTTCTATTCTCAGGATGACGAGGGTTCTCCTCAAGAGAGCAGACAGGGTGCCATGATGGCTACAGAACCAGAGGACTTCAAGCTTTATGTGTTTCTTTTGCCAAAAAGCTTTAAAATTCTAAAAAGCTAAGGATCTTTTGTGTTTCAGCTGCTCTCCGGGCCAAACACAGCCCAAAGTTGGGGTCAGGGCTCCCGGGTTCCTTCAACTAACCCAGGCTCCGAGAGACGAAAGAATTTCGGGGCCCCACTGGGCATTTTGGACTTTGGGCTGCTTGTGAGGATGCTACGTCTGTTTCGGCGTTCCTTGTGAGGCTTCAACACAGAAGTTGAGACTTACAGCTTGGCTCTGCGTATTCTGTTAATGCTGCTTCCCCACGTCTTTGCAGTCCGTCGGAATCCCCAGATCCCTATCCTTTGTAATGAGAACAACAATCAATATTAATTGTAAGAAGTACTGCAATAATGACAACAAGGGTATGTAATTATCATTAACCCTGAGCCTCGAAAGCTCATGGAAGCTGACAACTCCGCAATCCTTCGGTGCCCTGTTCACCCAAGCCCAATGGTCCGACACTACTCGAACATGTAGCCCATACCGTGCGGATTCAGCTTTACTGCAACCGGGAGCATAGGGAAGAGCTACATGCTTTTGGCAGGAAGAAAAGATTCGTTCGGGTTCTGGGCAGGAGGCATCATGCCAATGCCGCAGGAGCTGTTAATACAGCTGGGGGGGCACAAGTCTCGATGAGCCTAGCTTGGGAAGGGGTCATGCATGTATACATGCATACCAACTACAAGTATGTTTGCAAAGATATTTTGTTTGTGTATATGGACCCTCTAGCCTTCCGAGTCTCTTCAGCTCTCCTCCAAAACCCAGGCCTTCACAGAATGCGGAGCTTTAGGCCCTTGGGAGGTGCCGCAAGCACTGGCACGGTGTTACATTGAGGGTTCAGTTTTTGGGAGGCTCGAGGTGCTGGGCTTTGGAGTTTACCGTATGTGACTGTGCGGGCATCTTCAGATTCGTCACTCGCTCCTTCTAGCACGTACAAGTTGGTTGTGGAGATGTGAGAGGAGCCAAAACTTGGTACAGCAACTGCCGGGCAGGTGATTTCGGGACATGCCATGTCAGATTAAGTTGTCTTGAGCTGTCAGGCTCAGCGAAGGCTGGCGAATTGACGAGAAATCGCCTCAGATCTCTACTGAGAGCAGACTCCTAGCCTTGAAGCATAGGCCGGAAGCGTAAATGCCAGGTTCATAAACTGCATGGGGCATGCAGGCTTCGGCCGTCTCAATCATATCAGGTGTATACCCCAAAACAGCCTAAAGCCCAAAGCCCACAACTATGGTTCTCAGAGAGCGGTCGTCAAACTCGAAGTCCCAATGGTACAAACTACGAGTAGAAATTCGAGAACAGCCTACACCTGAAAGCTCCACCTGAAGAGCAACCACCCGCAAGTCTCGCGTCGGAGGTGGCTCAAACCTCGTGGGGCGCACCCGTGGAGCTGCAGCCCAGCGATATAGGGCTTCGGTTAGCGGTTAGCCTTCAAATTCATGCGGCTCAGAGATATGGGGTTCAGAGTGTGTTTTACAGGGTTAGGGGGCTCTACTCGTCTGGGGTTGCAAGAAGTCGGTACGATGTGGCGTTTCAGTCTTGTGGTTGAGGGTGACACGGTGTCGCTTCAGGAAGAGCCCAGCAGGCATGCCCAACAGGACGTCGACTCTGGCTGAAATTCAATGGCAGGAGTCTCCATACTGCGGATCCCAATTCAATGTGTAATTATGCATATGTCGCATTAATCCAGGCCCCCCAAAATCGCAGCCTAAGTGTTCTTCAGGCCCCTCTACCATGGCTGACTTGGACCATTTCCTGGTTCCGTAGTCAGGACTGGGTGCTTTCCCAGGTTCCGTGTAAGATTCGCTCAGGGTAGCTCCCCCGTTTTCGGAGGCTCCTGGTCAGTTTCGCGTGGGGGAGCACACACTTGAAGCCATAGCAAAAGGGCTGTAAATGGATTCCAGATTTTGTTGCAGGCGGTTCTGTTTGAACTACTGGTCCCCTGTATGTTTTCATCATGCAGCGAACGACTATTGAAGTGCGTACCCTGAGGGAGCCCTTTTTCCAGTTCCCATTTGGACCTTAGTTTCCCTATTAAAGGGGGGTTCGGGGCCGGGGTCCAGAATGCATTGAAAGGTCCTCTTCGCGGAAAGGGCACTACATCTATCGTGGGAAGAGGATGTGCGAGGAAGACGAATCTTGGCTTTGAGCCAGGTGTGCTTGCGAAAGTGTTGTCTGCCCACCGCCGACGAAACCCTAAACCCTGACCAAGGAGATGTGCGTCGCCTTCATGGCATTTCTGTGGGGGTGGAAGTGGGAGAAGACCGGTACCTGGTTTGGCCTCATCAATGACTGGAAGGAGTCTGGAGCCAACAGTCACCAGCCAGCAAGAAGCAGAGCATCGGGTCCATCTAGTGAGTCTAGTTTGACGCAACTAGTAATTAGACGCCCCCAGCGACTAAGACCAGAAGCAAAACTGCCTGCGGACATCGTACGGGTCGTGTCTTCTCTGCGCAAAGGGCAAGTTTTCTTCTAAGGTTTCCTGAACGATATTGGCCAGCCAATCTACGACACCTTCGGCCCGAAAGACAAGCGTGCCTTCAGGACTTTTGTCCTTAATGTCCAAGGAACCTGACACAGCACTGGCACTTCTTATTCCGATGGAAATGACCAGTAGCTGCGTTCCCAACAGGAAGATCAAGAACCCGAGCATCTGCTGCTCCGCAGGGCACTGGCAATCATTACTTCAAAGTCTTTCGGATCCGACCTTAACCCGACCAAGACAGCCTCGAGCTCTTGGGCGGAAATCGTTCGGAACAGTGTTTGCATCTTGTTGCATCAAGCTGCATTCCGACTGAGCTTGACCGTGCGGAAATTGCCGATTGCCGCACACCTAGATTTTGTTCGAGGCCATCTCGCTTCCAATGGGCGGCCTCGGCGGGTAGGAACTCGTTCTCGAAGTTCCCCCTTCCCATTTCCTACGCAGGGACAGTCGCAAGCGAAAGACTCGTCGACCGCAATGATACTGAGCATATCACTAGCTCGTCGCACTGCAACCGCTCCGACGACAGGATTCACATCGAAGGCTTCAAGGTGGACAAGGACAAGGAGGTGAGCAAGCTGGGCTTCGCAGTGGACCGAGGGGCGGAAGTACAATTGGACCTTCTCCCGGTTGTGACTCCGGCTAAATTCAGTTTCTGGTGGTCTCAGGGACTGTCATCCCGAAGCCACCAGCCCTTCCGCAATGCATTCCTCATCTTTTGCCAAGGTCGTTGTGCGGAGCCTGCATATTTGACATGAGTGTTTCTACAAGCGGCCCTGCGAAGTCATGCAACAAGAGACATAGCCCAGCTGCCCAAATGCTAGCGTGGGTGAGGATGGATGGGAAGGCAACCGCAAACCCTGCGGGCGAAGATAAGTCAGTCATTTGACTCAGAAGCTTAGCGCAAAGCTGCGAATAGCAGGAAGCCTCAACTCTGGGATTGAAAATTCTGCCGAAATTGTGTTTCTGAAGCCCTGAACAATGCGGACGCTACACCATGCGTTCTCCTGGATTATATATGTGTTGGTCAGGCGACGCCTTTCGATGGCGACAACGGAGCTTGGGCCCACTGGGTTGTCACCAAGGTTGCTTGGCTGAGAGGCTAAGCGTTCAGGCTTTAGGAACCCAGGTCCAAAGCTGACGGGTTTCTTGAGTTTCTTTTCTCGTCTTGTCTAACCGATGCTGCATTCAACGACTCCATAGCAGACATATTCCCAGCTCCTTCACGAATGAGGGAGTTTCTACGAAGTCTCGTCCAGCTCCCTACCAGTGCATCCCCATCAAAAGAAGATCGAAGCTCCTTGTTCCAATGCTCCGCAATATCGACAGCTCTCCAGCGGGTACTCGTATCCGCTTGCAGTCCGTCTATCATAGTAGGCCCCAAAGCTCTCGTCTTGAGTTCAGGCTCCCTAAACCCGAAACCGAGTTTTTGGAGGCCAAAGGCTAAAAAATGCCACGGAAAGGAGAGCCAAGTGGACGCCAAGTCCGACGCCAACTACCACGAGCGGCCACAAGAAGTGAGCCTGGGACGAAGACACAAGAAAAAGCCGGTTTAGGGTTAAGGGGTGTAGGGCTTCGGGTCTCAAAGGTGCTCGGCTTTAGATTTGGCCAGGGTTCTATGAAGATATCCCAGATGGATCAGAAAAGTCGAGCCAAAACGAGGATTCCGAATGTCGTGGAAGGGTGCCCCGGCAGCTTCCGGGCGAAGCTGAAGACCTGGAAGCTCGAGGATGGAGGGAACTATCGCCTCTATGCTTTTGCGAGGAGGACCAGGTTTTTGCAAGATTATGATATGGCTTTAGAATCCTGGTAATCGAGTGTTCCTTCGTCCTTTGAAGACGAGGACTGTGTAAGGCTAGAGATGTAACGTTGAGGCTTGAGTGGGTTTTGTGGTGTGTTGTTGGAGAAATCTTACACGTATTCAACACGGATTCTTCTGTACGGCATGTACGGTGTCTTGACAAAACTTCGATGGCATGAGTGTTGGGGGACGATACACACAGTAAACCCAGAAATGAGACAGCCGTCACAAAAGGAGAAAGTAACAAGGGCCCAAAGCAAGCCTTTCGTTCGTCCGCAATTCTCTCGCAACCCAGTCGTCGCGTTCAGTTTCTGTTTCAGTGACAGGAAACACGAAGGTGGATTTGGACACTACCCTTCCACGGTGGAGGCGCCTCCGCATGCCATGACCTGCGTGGTTCGGGATTCGCCGGAAGCTTGCAACTCTCACATGGCTGCCAGGCATCCTTTGCAATTCCGTTCCGAGTGGGCCCGCAGATGTGCTCGGATGTCACACATGGCCACTGCTACGACGAGGTGCGACCATTACTATTGCAGCTAAGGGCTCGCGGTCTCTTTGTTTACTTTTGCGGTCGTAGCAGAGGAATAGGAAAAGGACGAGGACGAAGGCCAACACCGCCACTCACCACCACGATCACAACGATCGCAACAAATGTTCAAATGACGATTACAACCAGATTTTTCAGGACCCGCTTGCCGATGCACAGCCTGCTTCTGGAAGGTGAACCGCGTCAAGACCAGTGCTCAGCGCATGGGCTATAACACGTGGCCCCTCGGCTCCGGTTCTTCTACGTTGAATTCTGCCGCGGTGTGTATCTGCAGGTTGGGGATCAGGTTTTAGGGTCTGCTGTAGGATCCGGCGACACGCCCACCGGCCCGCTTACTCAGCCGTTTCCTGCTTCCTGTGCAAATAGCAAGAAGTTCTGCACCGCTGACACTGTGGCCTTCAATCCATGCACCTCCACTCCAGCCTATCTCATCCAAATTCTTTACGCCTTCAAAGCCACCCGAATCCTTGATAATCAACATGCGCGTGGGCTTGATTGGAACCAGCTGCACACAGGCCTGCCAAAGGGCTCCGTGCATCTTCGAGCTTCAAGGCATCAGTGAGCACAGAGTTTAGGGCTGAGGGTTCAGCCTGCGGGTTCAGGTTATGGCTGTCAGGGTCTTGGGCTTGGGGTTCAGGGTACGGAGTTGTGGTGCTCATTTAAACTTGATGTTCCATTTATGTGTGTGGCTTCTTTGCGTTTTCTGGAGCTGCTTCTGTGCCGACAATTGCTCCAACAAGGCATGTTCATGAAGGCCTGCGGGTCTGCGACGCGTTCACTAGTCGCTAATGTGTCTCTTGCAGGCTGGACGAAGGTCCCCAGTGATTTGCCGAAAACGTGAGTGGAAGAGAACTTTTTGCTGTTGCGGTGCCGCCTCGGTGCCCTTAGTGAGAGCGGCTCCCGGCCTGAGAGGTTTTCAGGCTTTTAAGGGCCCTCCGGCAGCCTAAAGCCACGGTGCCCGAGTGATTCTACTTATGAAGATATGGCCGCTCTTAGTGGTATTTCTTCCTCCGGCAGGAATACCAATCTGCTTTGCATGTGGAAAGTTGCTTGGATGCAAGTGAAGCAGCGCGACCCGCGAACCATTTTGGGAGCCCTCGGCGTTTCCAAACAGAGGAGTCTTATTGACCAGGTTGAGGTAGAATTGGGGTTGCGCCGGTCTGCATTCTACAATGATCGCGGAGCTGCGTTTTCCAAAGTGCCTCACTTGCCAGGTCATGCAGGCTGCCCCGCGCCGTGCTCTGTGCAGATTCCGGCATCGGCCACAGCCGACTGCTCCGTGCCGACGAAGCTGCGCTATGTGGCGGACGTGGCAGCCATCCAGGAGCTGTTACTCGAACTCGTGTAGCACGGTGCTGACCTTTCGGACGATTTCGGGAGATGGCCTTTTTCGAGAACCGAGAAAGGTCTTTCGAAAGGCTGTGTCGCAGCATTTCGATGCTTAGTTAGATGCTTCCCGACTGTTCTGGCAGCCCAAGCTTCATCCGTTCTGCTGCAAAGCGCTTCGGTATCGAGGTATTGCATATGCTTGTAAGGATTCGCAAGTGCAGATGCTACCGTCACAAGCGAATCATGACGCTTCTCATGATCATGATCACCTTCAGGCTTGCTGCGGCCATCGGCACTGACAGTCAAAGAGTAGATTGGGGATTCATCGCGCTAGACTGTTCCTCGTTGCAGCTGTGCTGAGGCTGGCACCACCACCGCCCTTTGAATTGCCGGACGAGGACCGTACAACCAGCACCGAAAGCCTTGAAGCAGGAGCTGTTTTTTGCCAAGAAACCTTAGGCCTCAGACCGCTTAGACCCTTAAGCCTCCAAGCTGCTGGAGGAGTGCCATACTTCGATCCCACATGAAGATTGCCGCTTGGCGTGCTGAAGGGGTTTGAGCACAACTTGTAAGTCGATGTAGCATTGAGTTTTCCATTTTCTTACTATTAGATTTAGAGTTTAGGGTTTAGTTCTTAGTATGGCAGTAGAGCACCGCAGAGACTTGAGCATAGCCCTCGTAGGAGGGCTGTGTTTGCGCATGTGTCACGATGGAAATGCTTGTGTCATTCTCTGGGAGGCTACTATGCCACGAAGTGGGTCATGGACCAAGGCAGATTCACAACGAATAACTTTCCAGAGGCCAGCCGCCAAACTCTTCGAAGGGCTCGCAGGTCGCTAGGGCTTAGCATGAGCTTGGACTTCATGCGTGGCTGCTCCTCAGGATGCACAAAGAGCATGTCTGCTGAAATTCATCAACCCTAAGATCCCAGAGACGAAGTTAGACCCTGTCAGCCTCTCTCCTTTGTCAGTTGACGGCGGACTCGAGTTGGGAAGATGGACAGCTGGCTTTGTGGAAGCGCGCGCGGAATGGCTGCAAGAAGCCCTGCATGGAAGCTCGGCTGGATCGCTGGATTGAAGGGATTCTCGCTGGGTTGTACTAGCACCCCCAAACTTATTCATGTACTTGTGAATAAAATAGGGACCCTTCTGGAGTGGAGTCTTGGCAAGCAGGATTCTCGTCTTCCGAAACTGATGTAACCCTCGACCATCGAACTCGAAACTCTGAAGCCCTAAACTCTGGAACCAAACCTCAAACCCTGAAACTAAAGCGCTGAAATACGAAGCTCTAACACCACCAAGCCCTGAAAAGTCCTGCTGTTGTGTCCTTTTGTCCTGACGAAGAGCATTTCCGCCAAGGAATCTGCAGAGACCACCCAGAAGGCTGATGAGGCGCGACCAAGCCCAAGCAAAGCATAAATCTTTCGTTAGTCGTTACTCTCAGTGTTGTCACAAAGGCCATGGTACTGCTATTAGTAGTAGCATCATTAGTACTATGGTGGTGCTGGTGGTGATGATGAGTATTTCTAGTGTTGTTATTTTTCGCTGGTGTTCGCTGCAAGCATGATTGGTCCAACCAGTCTTGCTGGTGGTATTTGGGGCAGAATGTCGATGCTTACTTCTCACTTGATCATGACCGTTGGAGGAATGCCACACCTCAGTGCCGCATGAAGACTGCTGCGCGGCTTGCAAAACAGGTTCAGGATGGAGCACCATGCTTTCTCATGGAGCGTTGCTGCAACCAAGGCTTCTATGGCACGAAGTGGCTGCTGGACGAAGGCAGATGGAAGTATCCGGATGCCTTCCCAGAGGCAGGCTTAGAAGGTTCTTCCTGTTGCAACGCCTGTGTGACAGTGATTCCGGAGGTTACGGTCGAGTCGACTTGGGAAGATGCCCAAGAGGCGCTCTGGAAGCGTTCCAAGAACGGTTGCAAGAAGCCGTGCCGAAAAGTCACTCAGCTAAACAGAACCTGCAGACCCTTCGGAGTGCTCTCAGGCTACCCAAACTGCACTGTGCGAAAAGCGCAACTCGATAGTGCACTAAGTATTACTAGCAGCTTCGTGAAGCCACACTTTTGCACCGCTAAACTCGGTTGTCAACCATCGTCAGCTGTCGAGCTGTAGACCATCGAAGGCAACTGCGGTGTAAGGCTTTAGGTTTTCAGAGTGTCACGGCTTTCGGGCATTATCTTGGGAAACTGGGATCAATGGCTGGACGCCGCTGAGAGTTTATACACCCGATGGAAGTGCACGAAAGAGATTGAGCCACATATTCCTTCAACCTTGTCCCTCAACCTTACGCCCGTGCAAACAGTAAACAAAGACCCTGAACCCCTAAACCCAAACCCCGACTTTTCGACGAATAGAGGATGCCGGTAACAAACCCGAGTAGCCACAGGAGACGGTATCCGGAAGTCTCGTGCTGGGTTGGACCTTAGGATTCAGGGCCTGCTTGCTTTTTGAGCCGGGAAGTTGAGTCAACTAAGTGGAGAAGCCGCTAAAGTGAAGTGTCAAGACAGTGGCATGGCTGGATGTTGTTCCGGAAAGCGAAAAGGTGCCGTCAACAGGACATGATCCGGACACATCGCTTCTCCGCAGCTTCAACGTTGCAGTGCCTCTTACGGAAGCTGCCGAGGAGCCCGAACCAACCACGACGACTACCACCACGACCACCACGACAGAGGAGGAGATGTCCGGCGAACGCTTGCCGCAATACCAGGGTCCCTGAAGCCCTTAACCTGCATGGGTCGGACGGAAGTCAGGAGGCCTAGCAGAAACAGCTTTCCATCTGCCTCAGCTCCAAGCCACATCTGAGGAACCCGAAGAGACGACAACGCAGCAGGCTACAGAGGCGCAGTTCAGACAGAGGGCTCATGCACAAAGCCCTTCAGATCCTTCAGATCCCCGGACCCTGATCCACAAGCCTATGTCGGGAACCTCGAAGCTTAAACCTCAAGCCCAAAGTTGGCTCCAGGAAGAGTGCCACACGTCTGTGGAACCTGAAGATTGTGCCGTGGCATGCAGACGGCGAACGTAGCAAGATTAGTAGGGGCTTCCAGCTGTGTTTATGGAGGCTTGCATGGGTTTCTATTGAAGTACATGATGGAAGCCTGGGACCCACTGTAGGTTTGCGAGACTCGACGCAAAGTGACGCGTTGCTGAGGCTTCTATGGCACGAAGTGGCTGATGGACGAAGGCAGATGGCAACATCCGCACTCCTTTCCCGAGGCACGTGGTTTGAAGACAGGGCTGGAGTGGATACCTTTCGAACGGGCTCTCTGCACCCATACACCGGCCGAATCCCCAGCACATTGAGCATGTCATGTTTGTCGTCACTAGTAACGGTTTATCGATCAGTTGTTATCAGGTTTATCACGATTACGATTGTCATGACTAGTGCTAAGAAGTTCATTCTTAACTACCAAAACTAAGTCTGAAGCTGGCAGGTCACCGCGTCGTCGACTTGGGAAGATGCCCAAGAGGCGCTCTGGAAGCGTTCCAAGAACGGTTGCAAGAAGCCCTGCCCCCATGTGGCCTGACTGAAAATCTTGGGATTCAGAGGTTGAGGGCGTTGGGGCTTCAGGGTTTTACGGTTTGGGGATTAGGGTTCTGGGTTCAAGGTTTAATGACAGGCATCTAGGGTTTGAGGATTCCGTGAGGGCCCAAGGCCTAGCGGCCTCGAGAATGCGGTGAGTCTTGGTGCATTTCTCGTCGCAGAGTCTATCTGACCCATCACAGCAGATGCGAACCGAAGGAATCCGAGTCGGAGGCAGAAGAGGAGGAGTCAGCAAAGGAGGCACGGCCACAATCCAGAACAGTACCTTCCACCACCTCCATGAACGCGCTTCTTCTCAGGAGGAGTGCCACAGCTCCGTTCCGCCTGAAGACTGCTCCCTGTCTGCGCAAGGCTGCACCTGAACAGACTTGCGCTGGCAGTACCGCTCTCTCGAGTTGAGGCTACTATGCGACGAAGTGGTTGATGGATGAGGGCAGATGGCAACAGCCACATGCCTTCCCAGAGGCTCGACCAGCGACCTTCGAAGGATTGAAAGCCCCAAGCTGTCGAAGCCTCAAACCGAGGCCACCCGAAACGCCCCCCGAAGCCCGAAAGCGGTTGAAAACTTGAAATCTCCAAAACACCGGACGCTGAAACCCATGCTAAAGCCAGACGAAATCGGAACCGAAATCGCTGTCAGGTCACCGCCCATTCGACCTGGGAGGATGCTCAAGCAGCACTCTGGAAACGGTCTGAGGGTAGCTGCAAGAAGCCTTGCGCCCCGGAACCGCAGACGACGAAGGCTGGAAAACTTTACAGACAAACGCCAAAAAACACCAAAGCCTTCTGCAACTCGAGTTGAAAGTTCTGCGACAGGAACCTGAGACGACAACGCAGAAGGCTGAAGAGGCGTGGTCTTGCTTTGTGTCAGCTTCCAGGCGATCACCCCAGTCTCAGTTCCGGCCCGGAAGAGGAATCCGAAGAGCCGAAGAAGGAGGAAGAGGTCCCTGAGCCTGAGGAGGACTGCTACACCTCGGTGGAGCCGGAGAAATGCACCTTCGCCGTCGAAGATGAGCAATTCTTGCGTGGGAGATGATTGCTATTTCCCTCATGTGCTGAGGCTTCTATGCTACAAAGTGGCTCATGGAAGAGGGCAGATACAAGTATCCAGATGCCTTTTCCGAGGCGCTTAATTAAGGTAGACAGTTGTCACAGACTCGTGGTGACACTTCGTCGAAATCTGCAAAGCATGATTTCGCTAAGACTGCTGCCCTGTTCTTACGGCTTTATTCGGCAGGTTACGTCCCAGTCATCTTGGGAAGATGCCCAAGAGGCGCTCTGGAAACGCGGCAAGGACGGCTGCAAGAAGCCTTGTCCTCATGCTGCCTGGTTACAGACAGCAAGAGTTTAGGGCTTGCGCAGGTTTCTGGCATGAAATGCAGCCCGCTTCGCTGTCCAAAGCAAAGAGTGAGCCCAAGGAATCTGCGGACGACATCGACAAGGCATGGACATCCAAGACGTTTGAGATTATCCAGCGGTTCGAAACTCCTAGGCCGAGATTGTGCCAAAGTTCAGCTCAAACCCGGAAAACGCAAAGCTCTGAACCCCTTAAAATTGAAGTGGCCCTTGAAGCTAAGCCTACTGACTTCGGATCCCAAGCCTGTAGAGCCCAAACCCCACAGTCCTGACCTAGAAACCCTGACACCGACACTGGTTCTTTCGGTCGCTTGAACCCTTTTTTCAGGAAGAGTGTCACAACGCAGTTCCTCCCGATGAATGCTTCCTGGCTCTACTGCGGCTCCTGATTATCATTGTTGTCACGACTGCCAGTAGTCTTTTTGCTCTGACTATGATTATATCCCTATCATTGCGATTATCAGTATACAGTATAGTAGGTTTCCGGCCTGAGAGTTTGTTAAGGATGCGTGTACGGGCTTCGTGGGAGCGTTTAAGAACGCGTGCCCTGGGATATTTAATTTCGGACCCACCCAGAAGAAGGGCTTCCTTGATTTTTTCTCAACCTGAGGCTACTATGCTACAAAGTGGCTGCTGGACGAAGGCAGATGGCAACATCCCCACAGCTTCCCCGAGGCACAGATTCACGAACGGTATTTTCGATCTCGCTGTATGTGTTCACAGTTTTCCACTGAAACGCTGTACTCCAGCCCTCCTGGTATCCGCGCTGAATGATCTCACCCTTGTTGAGCATCCTTGCTCGAAATCCAAACAGAATCAGAGGGCTGTAAGCCCTTGCTGAGCTCCAGAAAATCCGGACATAAAAGAGGTGTGCTTGGTTATTGCTGCACATTCAACTCTGATCCTGACAGGTCACAGCACACTCCACTTTCGAAGATGCACAGAGAGCACTCTGGCAGCGCTCAGAAGGCAGCTGCAAGCAGCCCTGCTCAGAAGCAGCTTGGCTGGAGCTTATGTTTGGGCGCTGCAGGGCGTAGCGTGTAAGGTTTGGAGATGTTCAGGGCTCAGAGCTTAGGGCCGTGCGTGCATCCTAGAAGATATACAAGACGAAGTCCGGAAGTGAGCACAAGTCGCATGTCCCCAAGCAGAGAGGCAGCTATGCTGCAAAGCACTGCCCAAGCGCGTTGCAGGTTTCCAGTTTACTTCGCATCGGGAGAGCCTCATTCCTAAGGTCCTAAGGGCCCTAAATGTGCAAGCCTCAACCCCTTCATCCCAAACCCCACGCCCGGAACCCTTAAACCCATAAACTCTAAGCCCGACCAGAAAGATCAGGAATCCGAAGAGCAGGCGAAGGAGGAGGAGAAAGCGGAGGAAGAGGTCCCGAAGGAGGATTGCTACACGTCCGTGGAGCCCGAGAAATGCGGCTTCGCGAATTTAAGGTTGAGGGCTGGAGGCAAAGATGGCAAGTTTTTTGGGTGGGCAATTGGTCTTTGGCCCATGAGCTGAGTGAGCTGAGGCTTCTATGCCACGAAATGGTTGATGGAAGAAGGCAGATACAAGCACCCAGAGGCCTTTCCTGAGGCCTGGTACAGTGTTCAAGATAAAACACGTGTCGCGGCACAATGCGGATGCGGTGACACCTCACAAATTTTTGCTCGGACTGCTTTCGGCAGGTTACGCCCGAATCGTCTTGGGAAGATGCCCAAGCGGCATTCTGGAAACGTGGCAAGGACGGCTGCCAGAAGCCCTGTCCCCACGCGACCTGCCTGCAGAAAGCACTGACATCTTGCCGGCGGCAATGGATGAGGTGCTTGCAGCCATTGCACGCCTGACAGCCTGTCCAGGATTCCGAAACGCTGACCGACGAGGTTGAAGAGGCATGGCCCACATGCACCATGCTGGAACTCCCTTTTGTGTCGAACTTAGCAGTGGGCTTTTGTGAGGAAGATTGCCACAACTCCGTGCCGCATGAAGATTGCTCCTTGGATGTGGAAGGCCACAAATTCCCGGACCTCTCTTCTGTCGAAGGGCCTGCAAGATTACAATAGGGTTTGGGGCTATATTAGATATTGTTACTATTAGTATGACCTACCACCAGGAGCCCGAAGGAATGGTGTTACTAACTACTATGCTTAAAGCCCCAACGAGCTGAGGTTACTACGCTACGAAGTGGCTGATGGATGAAGGCAGATGGAAACATCCCGAGGCCTTCCCAGAGGCCTGGTTAGGGGTCGAAATAGGAACCGCATCTCCCTATAGTTATATGGCAATATATTCGAGCGTCGGCGGTATTGGGAAGTTACGGTGCATGGACTGCGCAGGGGTTGCGAAAACAGCAGTTGCACACCGATCAGAAGAAAAGAAGCACAGTGACGCCGGCCGTCAGAGCCCGGGCAAGAAGCGCACTTGGTTCTGGCGTCAGTTTGATATGCGTGGCGGTAGGAACAGCAGCATGGCAGCAGCAGCAGCAGCAGCATCTCCAAAGGGAGGAGTCGGTTCAAAAAGAACACTACAGCATTATGGGTATGCTCGGTAATGCGACTCTTTGCCATTCGTGCTCGCTAGCATTCCACGCGACCGTAACAAGCACAGCATTCGTGATTCTCAATATGAGGCTGTCGACACTGCTGAATTCTGCCATGACGATCACTGCCACGCCTTCGTCAGGTCACTGCCGCGTCGACCTGGAAAGATGCCCAAAGGGCTCTTTGGAAGCGGTCAAAAGACGGCTGTCAGAAGCCTTGCACCTAGGACCCGAGCCCGGAACCGGGAGCCTCCAATACGGGGGACTTCCCTGTGCTTCTGGCGAAAAATAGATGATCCGGCCGCGTGGGTTTGAGACCTAGATGCCTTCAACACCTGAGCCCTAACCAAACCAGGGGAACGTGCCAAAATCAAAACCCGAAAGACCTGATGAATTGCACCGGCTGGTTTGGGGCCTCGCTGCAGAGTACGTTCTTAAAGTGCAGTTGCAGCTACATGGTTTTGCTTGTGCCTGGTTGGCTGCTGCCAGCAGTCCGCTGAGAGAGAACTACGAGACGAGCTGATTGATCTCGCAAAGCAATGATTGCAGCTGTGAGCTCTCCAAATTTGAATCCTCGCCTTTCCCGCACATCGTGCCATCGACCTCCGTCCGACGATGGCAATCTGACCGACAATAGTGGGTTCCCCGTGACAGAACTAGAGTGCAAGTGTAGAGGGGAGTGTTATGGCTACATGCCCTACCCAGGTTTACTGTCGGCAGCCCTAAAGAGCAGACATGCAGGATGAGTTTCTTTCAAAGTTAAAGAGGAGTCGAGCGGCAAAGCACCCGACAAGATTCAGCAGTCTGCCGTGGCTAGGTGAAAATTCCGGTCCATGCGCTGCTGCCGGTGCTTGTCGGGCTGTTCATAGTGCCCCAGCTGGCATGGAGACAGGATACTTATCATCGTGTCTCTGCTATCTTCGCCGTCCATGTTTCTGAAACAAGCACGCAATTGAGTTGTGCTGGGTTTGCCGAACGGCCGCGTTTTCCTTCGAGCCCAAGAAAGCACAAGAACCCGAACAACCAAGGCCTGGCAACAGGGCAGCTTCAGCCCAGGCCGGGGCAACTAGCAGGTTGTCAATTGACTTGCGTCTTCTGCTTGCCATCAGAACAGTAGAAGGAGCTGTAGTCAAGGTCCCAAGTGTAGGAGCCTTCAGCCCGAAAGCACCCATGCATCCTTGGCTTCGGCTGGTCTCCTTCTGACAGTGCACAAAGCCGCTTCATTGCATCCTGCTTCGTGGGACAGCCTGCTAAGGAAATAGCCTCCCAAGGATAAGAAATCTCCCACCTCGCCTCAGGACCTTCCAAACAGCTCACGAAGTCCCTGTCCATGATGCTCGGATGGCACAGACGTCAGGCCTCCACAAAGAACAATAAAGAGGCATGTCGGGGACCCATTACCAAGTACTGGGACTATGAGTTTAGAAGAGTAAGAATCGCCTGTAATTCTTCCGCCTGTAACCGATGACCCCCAGGATTCAGCTGAAGCCGGAGCTCAGCAAGAGCGAGGCTTGGGATGAAACTCACAAAAAGCTCGGTTGGTGTGGCTGTCCTTACCGTGCCCTGCAAGGTGGAGCTCGAGATGACACCTTACACCCCGGTTGCCATTCAAAAGACGATGCCTGGTGCCGGTGGATGCCCCAGACTGTCCTCTGCATATCGGAAGGTTTCAGGGAGACGACTGCAACACTCCTAGGTGCCATGACGATGAGTCAGCCTTCTGGCTGTCCTCACGAGGACCACAGACGCTGTATAGCAGAGCTCTGAAGACAAAACAGAGAGCTCGTCAGCAGCGCAACTTCCAAGCCCCCTACTGGTCTTTCGAAAGGCCCAGAGGCAGGAACCCAGCGGTAAGTAAAGCTCACCAGCCGATTTTCAATGTGGATGCTCGCAGTTGAACTTTGGCCGTGCAGGAGGCCGGCCTCATGCCCTTCAGCAACTTAGGCACGTCGGGGGACATCACGATTTCCAGCGACTCGGCCGTGAGCCGGAGGAGAGGAAAGGGCGGGGACCATCCTGTCACATGTGGCGATGCTCCCTTCAAAGATGCTGAGGCGGGCGCTACCTCCTTTCCGCCTCTGCAACAATCCGATCGCTCACGATCAACAGCGGAGCTGAACTCATCATCGGCGATGTGGCAGGTCTCGGTCTGCTTTAGTCAGGAGTTCGTAGTGTCAGATTTGCCGCTGCTTGCTGCATGATGCGGCCATTCGTGCAGCCAAACAGCACGTGCGTTGAAGTCGCATTTCATGTCCAGCCACACTCGGCTTGCATTTTGGCTGGCAGGTCTGTCGCTGGAAACGCAGGCGATCTATGTTCGAGGCAAGAGTTTTATGTCCATGTTGGACATCACATTATCAACTGGTGTTCCAAGATGACGGGCCATTCGAGCTTCTCACATGACATGCCATGCGCTGGGCGTGTGAGAATATCGTCGTTGAAGCTTCCTTCACC